GAATGGCGTCGACTAAATCACTAAACCCATCGCGGATTGCTATAATAGCCTGTCGACAGGAACCTGGATTATTTTTTTGCACTACTTTCATATTTATCAAAGAAAAACTCCTCAGAGCATTGAGAATGTTGTTTTTTTCGCTCGATTTTCTTTCCGGTTGAGTGATGTATTTGTTTTCTTTCAAATCCGGCTTGTTGTCTTATCCGTGGAAAAGACGTTCCTAAAATAAATAAAATAAAAAAGCTTAGACTCGTCTACACATCATTTTTCCTGCATCAAGAATCAAGAGTTTTTCGGCAGATTTCATTCTTGGGTGTACAGATTCCTACCAGAAACAAAGGAACTAGCGTAATTTGTTCCATGAACCTGTAATCTTTTCAAGGATTCATACTCAAATTTTCATTACTTCCTGGGGGTCCGTCAGTTGAAAACATGAGCCCTCCAATAGGAGAGAAACATCAACAAATGATCCACATTTTACGGCTGTAACTGGGTATTTTTTCATATTTTTGTCGACATTTCATCGGCGATTTTCTTGTTGAATTAGTGTGCTAAGAAAAAATACAAGCTTCCGATTGAAATGTGCTCACTGCTTTTTTAAAAGCTGGGTGAAGGACTATTGAAGCAGTTGTGGAAAGATCAGAGGAAAATTGTTGCTTAATTGTTTTCATTATCGAAAATAAATAGATAAAGTGATAAACTAGCGTTAAAAAAAATCAGGGCTTTCGACCCTCGAATTATTAATGTCTGTACAGTACTGTACTCTATTTTATGGTCATTGGATGGTCATAATGGAGAAATAATTTTCCCTGCGTATCAACGATGAAAATAGAAATTTAGGTTCCGATTTCTAAAATTAAAGTTCAGAAAAAAACTTGCAAATGTTTCGAGAAACCCCATCTGGTGGTGTGTCTATTTTCAGCGCAGAAAAATGCGTCTGCTTTTCGCCCACGAACTCGTTGAGTCCTCGGAACTTGTCGTCGGAGATTCCCTTGACAATTTGTCGTTCATTTTATTTTTTGAAACTGTTGCCATGTGTTGGTAGTGGAATTATCTTCGGGGACAAGTTTTTTTTTGAAAATTAAATAGGAACTGTTCGGCATGTGACTGAATTGTTTAATGCGAGCGATTCTTCGCGACTCTGGTGTCTTGGGGGCATTATCGAGAAGAGCCTTCCATGTCCCGCGGGTGTTTGGATCAGTTACAATATTCCCCATTTCCTTCAGGGAAACCAGTTCTTGTTCTTAAATCCAGCTGAGGGTTCAAGTTTGATCCACGTCGAAGATACTCCGGGGGGATTTTCAACAAGTCATCTGACATCTTCGGAAACGCGTTCTCGTATTCTCTCATCATTCTGATGTAGGCTTGGCTGAAAATTTCCAGTTTCCCATCCGAGACGCAACAGCCGTGATCTCGAATGTTCTAACTCTTCGTGAGAAATCGGACAAGGAAAGGCATTTCTGAAGATTGAAAGGATCCCATGAGATCGTGCAAAACTGATTCAACTCTTACGAGTGCATTTTTTTTTTTAATTTTAAAACTGTCTACCGGAATGAGCACCCGGAAAGCCGTAAAATAAATATTTTGAATTACAGTGAGACCCCCCCCCCCAGATGTGGGGCGGACATAATTGGTGCATCAAGAGTGTCCCTAAGTTGAATTGTACCCAAGTCTAGTCTTGTTTTCCCGTAGACTTACAGTATATAATTTTTAATTGGTGTTTTATGGGAGAAATATTCTTCAGGATTCCATGAAAAAAATTTGTTTGCCAGTTGAATTTGATTCAGGGAATATCTTTTCAACCCAATAAGAACATTGGAGCATTGAATAGTATACCACTGTACAGTTCATTGAAATGTTGGCATCTGTGAATATAATATCCAAGTCACAAAGAGAGAAGGAAGTCCCTCTGTGCTATATGTAATTTTTTTAATTAGGTGATGGGAAAAGTACAAAAGAATTTTTCTTGCATACGTCTTAGGGTTGGAAATTCTGTTTCTTGCAATTAAGCCTAATAAAAGTCAACTTTCCTAAATTTTATAGGCAATGTTATCATTCAATGTCCTCATGTCGAGTCAGTGTCGGTATTAAGCGCCTTTTTAATGATTCTTTATTGAAAAATAAATGTTCCTATGTCAAATTGTCCCCATGTTGAGGTGTCCACATTATGTGGGGGTATCACTGTACAGTACTAGAATTTTCAAAGCTATGTGAAGAAAACTTTCCTGATACATGCTCTTTCAATTTTATAACTGATTGATGATGATAAATTGTACATTAGAATATCCCGGGATATGATATAAACTTATAGAGCACGTATTGGCAAACTACGCTTAATTCTGGATAATAAATTCTTATACAGTACATGTACATAAATTTTGTTTAATATTCCTGCTGTGAATGTGAACTCGGACAACTGGAAAATAAAGCGTTGGAGAAAAATTATTTTGAATAAACTGAATCCCCGAACATTTTCTTGGAATGAAAATGTCGAAATTCTTGTGAATCAGGTCTGAAATGTGTCCGGGATAATGAAAGTTCTGAAAATGCGTCATACAGTACAGTACTCAAGTTGATTTGAAGTTCTTTTTTTTTTTACTTCATATAAGGCCAATAACTTTCAAGGTCATCCTCGCATGTTTTTTCTTAATGAAATCGGAAGTGCATTAAAAGTTAGACAAAGCTGTATTCCTCTGATCGTAGTGTAAATTTTTTAAACTCGTTTGAAGTACTGTGCAGTACTATCTAATGAAGTTTGAGAATGCATTTTACCTGCCGTTATTGATCTTAGTCTCATTTTATATGAACTCAATCATGTGTCCAAAAACCGTGCTGTTTTTTTTTTAAATACAATACTGTATGTTTATACTAACGTGTTTTTGTTGGTGATGAAATTTTCTAAAAAAAATGTTTTTAAAGCTTTTTCTTCCTTCTGCCTTGGAAAAAAAACGATTTCTATGAGTTTTGCTTCTCTTTTTGCAGTTTTTATTTCCTTTAATTGTGTACCATCTATTGACAGATACTGAATACAGTAGATGTTCTTGGTCAGCAATCGAAACCTGTTTTAAAATCTTGCTTCATCGTCGTTCGTGAGTTTGAAAAAATATCCTAGAAAAGGTTAACATTTTTTAAAGCGAAGAATGCACGTGCAGTACATTATTCAATTTATGAGATTTTTCCGAAGAGGCGCTGATTTTTTCTTTCAAGCAAAAATTCCTTTGAACCAGTACATTATTCATACATACGCATACAGTACATTATTCAATCAGCATATGAAATTTTCTCGAAGTGGCGTGAAATTGATGTTCGCTTCTACGGATCTGTGGGTTAAATTGGACGAGCGTTCACAGCACGGATTTATCAGGAGAGGAAAATGTACGGTAACTTTAGTAAAAATGTGCGAAACTCTTGAAAATATGCAGAAATGTCGAAGTACCGGTTGCACGCAATTTCACAGGTCGGTCTTCTCCCTCGAAAAACGCGCTGAAAAATTTTGTAGTGTAAATTTAAAGTATTTGGTTTATAGTCCAAATATTTGGACTATAATATTTGGATATTGGTTGGAAAGGGCATATATATATTTTCTGTGTAAGGTTTATTCCCTACATATATTTAAGCATACTTCAATATATGCTTAAATATATGTAGGGGATCAATATATGCCCTTTTCCAGTGTTATACTAAATTCTTTCCCAATAATTCATGGTGATTTTTTTTTTTCCTTCTGTGTTGTCCCCAAAACCTCCCTAAGTTGAAACCTCCCCAAGTCGAATTTTTTTCCTGGTCCCTTGAAATTCGACTTAGAGAGGTTCAACTGTAATTGTGAAAATGCGCCTCTGTGACGAGATAATGTGCCTATCTTTACTCAGAGATATTGTGGATTGAAACTGACGAATTGGGGGTAAAATAAAAGGAGACAGGAATCGGACCAAGGAGATTGTTTTCCCTGGTAATTTTGTGAGTGTTCTGTTTGCCATATTTCAGTATTGCATGAATTTTCATTCAAGCCTGAGCTTTTTTTAAAACTCAAATTACTTTTCTGGGACATTAAAATGGCTGAATTCATTTATTGTTTTATGAACTGTTCAGTTGTTCAATTGGTGATGTTAAAATGTGTTATTTTATTCAACTTCTTAATTGTTGTTGATAGTTTTTCAAGCAGATTTTTAGCGTAATTTTATCGACCTTTGCTGACAGGAAAACTTGAAAAGTTGCAAAAGAAGGAGATCAAGCTACTTTTTGATCTTACAAATGAAAAGTACAATACTGTATACCGGAATGTTGGTACAGTAATGTACATTTCAATCAAAAACGTCAGTCTTCTTAATTGCAGAAGTTCTAAACAGACCATTCACACCTTGGTGTGGAAGGATTGTGGTCCTTGAATAATTCTTGGGTGTTTGTCAAAACACTTGGTGTCTGTCAGTCATTTCAAAAAGGGTTGCAGTTGCAAGATGGGATTATTATTCCTCAATACTCAATTGAGGTCAGGTGCTGTTCAGACTGATGAGTGACTGTTTCATTGCAAATTGAAGAATTAGTTTTCCTGACAAACTGCTTGGGTCCTTCACATTTTCAAAATTCCCCACTGCCTGCTGCTCAGGTATCAATCATGGCCCTTGATTACATATGGATGCTATTTTCAGTGACTTTCTTGGACCAAAAAGGCCTGCAAAACAGGATTTTCAACCCTTTTTTCTGGATTGTGCAATTTAGTTTTTTGCACCAAGTTCATATAAAATCTCAAACCCTGAATCAGATGGGATACCTAATTTTTGTTTTGTTTTACAATTCTACAATTATATTCGAATTCAATTTCTAGTGCTTATGCCCTTATGGTGTCTTCTTGAAGATTGGGATATTATTCATCACCTCGAATAATTTCACCTATATTATTATTATAATTAATTATAATAATATAATTATTATTTCACCTCAAATTTCGAATTTACTTTTTAAATTACGTGCCACTCCTTACAAAGCCCGGGTACCCACCAGCTATGCAACAGCCTGCGTCTACCCACCACCAGTGGAACCCGTACCACTTGTTGAAAAGCCCACATGGCATTGATACTGTCTTGGTCGCAGTGTGTTCCGTCAGTGGTGATGTCGTTTTTGTTCGCGGTTCGTGGAAGCCGTAATCATGTAATCGAGCTTCTCGCGGGGCTGCATTTTTATCAGATCTAGATTAATTACAGGAAATGGAAAGCAAGCCGTGCTCCATGAAAGGCAAGTCTGGTTTACTTGGGAAAGGGAAGTTTTTCTACAGCCGACCATTAGTTCGGAGATACGGGAAATGAGCAGTGAGGATTACTGTACCTTAGTTGCGATGTGAACGGACAATGGAAGTACTGTATCGATGTTTTTTGTTTTCTTGCGAAGATTTTTATTGTTCTAAAGGAGTTAGTACAGTACTGTGCTGTACTCTAAGAATGCGATCTATTTGAAGGCGTCAGAAATCTCGTTTTTATTGGATCGTGTGAAATCATCTTATTCATTCAAGACTTCCGCATCTTTTTTTCCGGATTTAAAAATTTCGAAGATAAGCCCGTTGTTAATTTACTGTACCACGTCTGGAATATATGTACTGTACCACCTGCTCAAGGCGTTTCTTGGTGTCATTTTTTTAGGATACTGTATTTAGAGTTACTGTGCGTACATTAGCTTGAGTTGAATGAGCATTAATTCTTAGTTAACGTAAGATGCTCCCGTATTTTATAATGAAGCATGCACTAAGTCCTTCACTGTACAGCTGTCTCTAACTCGAAGTTATGTGCACTGGAATCCAAGTCCAACGCTGGAGATACTGACGTTTTTAATGGACCATTTCGCGTACAATTTGGGATCCGCTATAGAACTATAGGAGCGCGTATAACCACTTTTTCGGTTCCAAAGTCCTGTCCTATTTCACTAAAATATAATGCTCCATCGATAATAAGGTGGGTCGACCATCTGTGTATCTCAAAAATGACGATATGATCTGCGATCGAATGTGAGACTCTCCTTCATGGCATGCACTTCCTTCAGAATAAACGATTACCTGTATTATTAAAGTAGTTTTACTCCGGAATATTCGCCGTTGCGTTGTCCGTTTCGAGAAGATAAGACTGGGCGGATTTGTCGTGTCGCGATCTTTCAGTTCTGATTGGACTTATATACCCGGAAAAGGGAATACAGTAAACTAAAAAAAATTAAACAAAAAAAGCTGAATCTGATGGTTTGCCACGTACTGTTGGTTGCGGGAGAAGTGTTCCTCACCTTCAATGATCGTCTGCAAGTACTGTAATTGATCGTTGCTTCGTGTTGTTTTTTGCTCGGCAGGTGGAGCGGATTGACACAGTGGAAGGCGGAGGACTGTCCGTGCTGGGCCTGTCGTTGAACAACCATTGCGGAGTCGCTTTGCTGGTCTTCTCTGCCTTCTTCCTGCTCATTGGGCTCATCCTCACTGTGATCGCCTTCTCCAACTCGGTTCGGTCAGATTTCAATGACGATCCGAACCGACTGGGCTTCTTGCAACGCAACCGGCTCACCCTGCGCGTTGTTGGACCCTGCATGATCGTCTCCGGCTTCATCATGGCCGCCTGTGGCATGTGCTTCTGCGCCCTCAACTGGAAGGTTTGCTACTGAAACGATTTTTTTTTTATTTTATTTTAGTAGCAATAGGTGTGTTGCGACGTGCGAAGGGTTGAAATAGTTGCGAATGAGAAACTCGGGGGGGTTATTCGACCTGAACGACGACGGATTATATCCTCCGTACTTGAGGTCTTCTTCATTCTAGCTGGTGGTTCCGCGGGGTTTTCAATGTGGCTGAAAGCCTCTCACTCGAATTTCATTCATGTTATTTTTTTACGTAAAATGAAAAACATTTGCTTTGCGTAGCTATACCTTATTAGATTGATGAACTGAAAATGTTGTTCCTTCGCCACATGGACTGATGTGACGTGCTCACGAGTTCGTCGAATCTACGCATCCAGGTTGGACCTTTAAGTGTAATTTTTCGTCCTGAGGCATGATATTATTGTGGGTTAGCATCCCATGTGCTATCATTCGATTTTTTTTTTACTGTCTGTAGATTTATCTGGCGGTTTCGCATGTCTTTCATTCGTTCCCCCCGAAATAAATGGAGAGACGTTCATGAAATTCTTAGCACGAAACCAATTTCTCAAAGCTTATTATTGATCAAACCGCGAAGAGATCGACGTTTGCATATTTCTCCTCAAATTGTTCAAATTAATTACTGTTGACGTCGGGCTACGGTCGAGCGAGTTGTAGAATTTTATGCCTAACGGTCTTACTGGTGAATCATGAATTAGTTGAGAAGCTTCATTTAGCTGAGGAATATACTTTGCATTTCAAGAAATGCTAACTAATTATACGTAAATTGCGCGCTGAATACGTTTTAGAAATACCTAATCTTTTCCACTCCGCAGCACCAATCCGAAAACTTGAGTTTGGCGAGGTAAAAATTACAATTCAAGGGGTATAATTTTGTTCAGTTTAATACGAGGGTTACTGTTCTAATTCCGATAACGTTTTCAATATACCCAGAGCTTTTTCGTTTTGGCGCCATTATAATCGTAGCTTTTGAATTGTTTCAAATTTTTCGAACCGTATGTCCATCTGTGATTATCCGTTTTGTTTTTAACCGTACATGAACCGAATGCTAACCCGTTTCAAGCTGCCTTCGGCTCTGCGAGAAATTCGGTACTGAAAAGTTCTCGACTGTGCATAATATCTTTTTTTTTCAATGCAAGTGTGTCGAATGTTAAACTGACAAGAACCCGTTTTGTGCCCCAGGTGAAGCAGGAAGAGAAGGAGAAGGAAGACCTGGAGTACCATTGCCCATTGCACGATCACGGCGAATCGCGATTGACGAGTCATCACAGGTCTCGGAACTCGGTCAGTTCTGCACTTCCCATGGGCATTGCGACCGCCCAGTACAGCTCAGCCAGGTGAGGCAAGAACCGGGGATCTTTCTCGTGCTCTTCAAGGGTTTGTTCAAAAGCTTCGTCTTCAACTTGAAAAACAGCACAGTGGTGCCTCGGGTAATGGACTGAAGATTTTTAATATGGAGAAAGTCTATTGACCGAGTGACGTAAGGGTATTACCTGGTACCGGACGTTTTCTCTGTGCAGTTTTTCCGACGACTTTTCCAAGCGTGTGATAAGATTGATTAGAACAACGCCAGAAATTGAGCGCTTGGGAAGTTCTTTGATGCACAAGCTGCTCTGTAAGGGTTTCCATTCCCAAAATTTGCTTCGAATGATGGAGAATTACTGCTTGTCCTAATCTAGAGTTACTAACGAAAATTTCCAAGAAAACGATTTTTCTTTCTTTGGTAAATAAGGATCAGATCTGGGGCATCACTATTGATGTTTATTTTTATACGTGTGTATGTATCGTTAGCTTTGACGTGATCTCCCGTAATTTCGTGAAATTCCATTCAAGTGCAGTCTTACAACCATCTTCAAGTTAAGTGGATTATTAGTTAAGAGTTCGGAGAATTAAAAAATGTATTCCTCTTGTATGATAGAAGATAGTGGAAGATAGACGATAATTTTGAACAAACCCTCGGGCCGTGTTTGCATGCAGCTTAACATAACTAGTATGTACAGTACTTATTGTTTTCTGGTGTCATAATTTGAAAGAACGGAGAAAAACGGCTGTTCGGAACGCGTAATTGAGGAAGTGGGGAATTTTTGAGACAGAGTTTTTGTTCGTTTCCTTTCCGGATTAAACCTTGGCATTACAATATTATTTCCTGAAAATTTTCAAATTTGTTTTGCGTTTGAATTCAATAGAAAATGAGTGTTACCAAAAGCACTTTTCTTCGAATCTGTTTTTCCTTCGTGATGAATGTTTTAAACGAGAGATTTATTTTTCATCGATTTATCATACGATGGTTTTTTTGAATAGTGCTTTGCGAAGAAGGAAATATTTATGGTGACGATTCTCATGCTGAACTCTCGGTACCACCTCAATGAAAAGAGCAAGTAGAAACTTGAGGAAATTGTATGCAGATGATCGAGAAAAGCAACTTATGAATAATAGGCGAAGGCTGTTGCTATAGGGGTTTTAGGGAAGAAGATGATTATCTTCATCCTGAGATACGAGGAAAAAAAAACAGTATTCGCGTGGAGCTTCGCCTATAAATTGATTCATATTCATAATGTTGAGCATTTCTAGTAGGGGTATTCTACCATTGATTCGCATATCACTGGGGATACTTGTCAAGTACTATCGCACGCTGTTGTTTCACTGAAAATTATGTGTGTATCAGTTTTGGAGCCTTTCCAGAAATTTAATCAAAACCAGTTGAGGGAGTGGTAGGGGTAAATAATTCAATGGAGACGGGAGGCATGAAGGTTTTGATATGCAGTGTGTGCAGTTGTACAGTTCTCGACCATGTTCTGAACTCGATGTGATTTAAGGACATAGTCGTTGATGAGAGTCGAAAGCCCCGGCACAGGTTGGTTCTCCGGTGAGATTGTACCTGAACACCGACGCATCTTGCGAGTTGGATATAATTCAAGACATTGAAAGGTCCTGCGATAAAGAGTAAAATGTTGTTTAGCCGGCCCGGAACTCGGGACTCGTCGCGTCCAGTCACTCGAGACTCGTCGCGTCCAGTGACTCGAGACTCTTTGATGAGCGCCGGCGGAATGTCCCTGTTCGACCGGAGTGTGCGAGCCACTGGTCCCATTGGTGGACTCTTTGGAGTGGTGGACCGTGGTGCAGGCGGTGGTTCCAGCGGTGGTATCATCCAGGAGGAAGACCGCAATACGCCTAGCGACGAGTTCGAGTACGATGTTGATGAGGATGGGCGACGAGCCTCGTCCGCTTTGCCCGTTTTCCTGCCGATTTTCGACGCTTTGCGGAGGTGGTGTGGTGTGATGGACACGGCGGGGGTCAAGCTTTTGTCTCAAATTTGTTCCTTTGGCGCTTTGACCCCCGGGCTCACGAGCACGGCGGTTTTGTTACTCCCCACGTCCAATGTTTGAGCACCCCGGAACAAGAGTTTCCGGTCGTCTGTAGACTGAATGAGTCTTCCCCGTTTGTTGGTCGTTGAGGCCGTTGGTGATCCACAGTATTCTATGTTTTTGCGAGCAATCGAAATTTGAAAGAGTCAAATTGCATATTCTATGCCTCGAATCTTCATTACGGTGTAGAGTCGTGTAAAGCTATGCATGGGTTCTTTCCATCACTGAAGCCGGTCCCACCGATGCTTCTACAGTAAAATCTCTATGCAACGAACTTTTCGAGACTTGAGAAAAAGTAATGTTGTAGAGAATTATTTGTTGTAACGAGATTTTCAAAATTATTGACTGGAAGAATATTTTCACGTCATACATGTCTATCTATAATCGTTGCCTTTCTGGCATACTCAGATATTTTATTAGTTCGAAATACTGAGTAATCTTCTGAAACAAAATGAGCTTCAGTCATTTTTTCCGTCGGTTGCAGGAATCTCTTCATTCTGGGATGATGTTGTGTGGAACCACTTGGAAGCATGATTATCATTGATTACAGCTTCCATCCATGCTACCAGACCCAGCCAGTCACACTTGGGATCTGAAATTTCAGACTGTGTCTGCCTTAGTTAGGAAGTTTCTACCTTCAGAATCTATTAGACATTCCTCAAAAAAGTTTGTTTTATTGGAATTGGGAAGTTTGTAACAAGAACGAAATCTTTTTAACATGTACTCCTTGGTTTTTCTGTTGGAACTCAGGAAAACTGTCGTTATAGTGGAAAAAAATTGTAACGGTATTTTGTAACGAAATTTTATTTATACGTTCATGCGTCCTTTTGACTTAGATATTTTTGCAGGGGATTTTTGGTGAAGTTTTCGTAAGATTGAGGTTACTATGGGTAAGTTCAGAATGGGATTGGGTTACTCTTGTCTTAGGGTTTGGCAAGTTTTGCATAAATTCGGGTTAGATTAGGTCACGTGCTGAAGCCTGAGTTAGATTATGCAGTACTGTACAGTATTTTGTTGAGTTGGGCTAGTTTCGTTGGTAGGCCGGGTTAGTTACGTTAATCTCGTTGCAGATGGTCCGTCAGAAGACTAGACATGATTGTAATGCTGTTCCTTCCGCCTTCACGAGATTTTATAAAAAGTTAGATTCAAGCTTCGATAGTAAATTTTAAATCTTTCCGACCGGCCTCCATCAGAAATATCTTATGAGTGGGTGCACATTGTCCCCAACGAATCGTCAAGTTGTTATTTCGCGGTAGGCTCACCTTGAGATACGAAACAGGGTCACAGTGCGTAAAAAGAAACAGCAGTGAGTTGCTTTGGTTCATTTTATTGGCAAAGGAAAGACTGCGGATCACCCACGTGTGTTTCTGTTTGCGGATTCGTCAAGCACATCACGGGACTCAGACTCACCCCTTCAGGGTTTTGCGTTCTTCATGTTGCTTTTCTGGCCGAGTGTGACGCGATTGGATTTCATCTTCATGATCATCACTTTTTTTGTTTGTTTGTGTGTGTGTGCGTGCTGTGATTGTGCAGAGCCATGCTGCTTTTGGCGCTTGTTATTTAAATTAATACGTGACAATGACACTGAAATTTGGTTTTTCTATTCTCGCAGGAACTCATTGCAGTCCAGCGGCGGTTGCGATTTGTGCTACGAGCGGGCCAAGACCGCCAAGTCGATCGAGGAATATGAAGAGACCGAGAAGTATTTGAATACAATGGGTCGAGAGACGATCAAAGGCGCTGACATTGCTTGTTTCCCTCGTCCGCTGACTCCGAACAAGTGCGTTATCTTTTCGGGAGGAAAAATCCCTTTTCAGTCTCTTCCATCTTGATTCTGGTCTTATGCGATGTCAAGTCCGAGCGATAAATCAAAAACCTTTGTTTTTTGAAGTCGTTGGAAGAATGAGTTACATTGTGAGGTCATAGTTGAAGAAATACGAGGGTTGTCCGATTTTTCTGCGGCTAAAGAACACATTTCCAACAGTTTGATTGACCAAACAATTCTTGTTGCTCATCATGATATTTTGAAATGTCAGATAATTTCGTTTTTCCTCGGAATTCTTTACTATTGTCACAGGGGATGAGGAGGAAGAGCGTCTTGGTGGACAGAACGCATAGTGTTCTTGTCTCGAGTTTGAATGTCAAATTGCTACTCTAGCTCTAACTGTTTGCCAGCTGACATTGATTTCATTTTTTAAATACATTAAATGTGCTTTTTTGGGGATCTATTCTTTCGATTTTTTTTTCTCCAAGGGCGATTGGGTGGGGTTTCAAAGAGAATAGAATCTTTCCATTGACTCCCGCGGTCTGCTGCGTTCCTGTCGAAAATGTTTTTCTAGAAATAATATTTGCATCATTTTAAACATTATTTTGTGAAATAACTAATGTCTAGTGGATAACTGTTACGGATTTCAAGTCTACTGAAAATTGCTCTTCCTGCTTCTGTTGATCTTACGAATTTTCAATTTTAAACAGCTCGTTGGATTCCTCACGTGCCATTTGTCGCAATGCCGCCAAAATTATAATAATTGTACCCATTTCCGGGTCATTCGTTGATTTAGATTCAAACAATTCCTAGACAAAGGCAAATACTGTGAAGATTTTTTTTTCTGAAGTACTGTATTTGAGAAGGAACATCTGGGAACTTGAAGGAAAATGGAGCATAAAAAAAAACCTTTTGTAATAAATTTAATAAAAATGATCCTTGGGTTGACATTTGCAGCAGCCACTTTCCAATTTTTTGAGAATGTCATGCATTGGGGTCTGCAATATGAAAAAAAAAATGGTTGCAGGACGTGTCTGTTGGACTAATCTTCTATGCAAAGTGCTTCTTGACCACGCCACCCCTCCTGGAATTGACATACTTGCTCGATTTTATTCATTTTTCTTTTTTTCATTTTTGCAGTACAATTGGCGACTTCGGATTGCCCGGAGCAGCAAATGGCAGCATTGATCAGCCGGGATCGATTCCGGACAACAACAACGGCGAGCAAGGACCGCCGAGCGTGAACAAGCCATCTAGTCCATGAGGCTCTTCTTTCTTTTTTTTTGTGGATCCTCGCACCATTTGTGGTTCTCGCGTCTGTGGATGGATGCATTTTTGCTCATAGGCTCCCGGATTTTGCCCATTTCTCCTTCTTGTTTTTTTTTTTACTCGCGAACGCGTCGGAGTAGCAAAAATTAAGTCTGTATTTCTTTTCTTTCCGTTCACCTCCGCCGCGTTCCTGTCGTTCATCATTCGGTGTGCTTTTTGTGACGTTGTCTTCTCTCTTTTTTTCCTCAGCTCAGATGACGGATGATCATGAAACTTGGCCCAAGCATTGCTTTATTGCTGATGATCATACCGTGTTGGAATTTTTCGAATATTTAAAAATGACTCGTGTCTAAACACGTAGGTGAACCCTAATGAAGACAATTGTATTTTTAACTGGATTGGTTAATTTTTTTTAGTTCTAAAGAAGTTTCCAATATTGTCAGACTTGAACGGGACTCAGAAAAAAGAATCATTTTTTTAATCATTGGTTCGTCGTCTCACAAATTGACAGGAAATGGTGCTCACATTAAAATGACTTCGAAATCCAGCATTGCCTTTCCGAATTTCAAGATTATTCACCCGGCAACAATATTTTCGGCGTGGAAGTCATTAGTTGTTGACTGAATAAGTTGACGAAATCTTCAAATTTTGATTTTAACTCCCTAGATGGGAGAATGAAAGAATTTCAAAGCATCAAAATGACTCTGAAACGCAACCTCGTTACGTCAGATTTGCGAAGACTTGTCTGTAAGAGTTGATAGTTCGTTCAGGTTTTATTTTGCTGTATCGACATGAACACCTTTACGTGAAATGTTAAGTTCTCAGCCTGGTTTTAGATTTTAGAAAGTCTTGAACTCAGCCTTTTTTGTCAAATTTTCGAAAAGTGGCGTGAGAATGTTTTGTAAGAAAAACGTTTATTAGGGTTTCGTATAAGTTCAAATCTTCTTTTGAAATTGACAGAAACAGCCTTCAGTTATCTGACTTGTTTTAAAGTTATCTTGAACAACTATGACTCAGAAATCCAGATACTGTCAAGACTTCCGATGACTGAGAAGGTTCCAGTTCACATTGCCCTTTTTGTTGAGAGATTTCCGTGGAAGTCGATGAATCCCGTGAATCTTGAACGACGAAAGAGAAACTGAGAAGATGAATCCATTCTTTTTTGCTTTCCTGAATAATATGTATAAAATCCGCCATCTGAATTGCGAGATCAAAAAAACCGTCATACGAGAGTGGTTTAAATGTAGCTTTTTATCTTCCGTTATTTTCGACGTTTCTGTGTTCGATGTCGTAAAAATGCGTGTTGAGTGTCGAGTTTTTTTTTTTTTCTGCACAGTTCTGCGAGGTTTTTTGGACGCAAAAACGCGTGTTGCGAATGTTTCCCGGGTTGAAAGGGGAGACAAAAGAGTGTCATGATGATTTTCTGTGAGATCTCATGTGAATGATGGGAATCCTGATGGAAGGTCCCGAGATGTTCATCTGTTATTTAAGAGGAAGCAAGCTCTTTCTAGCATCGGATTCAGAACAGCCTGGATCCGCGTCTGAAGAAAAAAATAAGAAAAACTGGTGGATTTTTTGACGTTTTCAGTTACCTTCGAGCAGTTAGCACTTTATAACGCCGAAATTCTTATCGTCCGAAGAAGATTTTCTATGTGTCGGGTTGCTGTTGGCATCGTTCAGGGAGTTTCTTTTTAGGTTGATTTTTGTGATTATTTTTTTTTGAATCTCCTAAATTTTTTTTTTTCAAATGTTGATCGTGATATAGGTCGGTTTGTGAACAGATAGATTTTCTTTGAATCCTGCTGAAAGTTCGCCCTCCATGCACAAGTTGAGAATCTCCGGAAAAATATGACGTGCGTGGGAAAACAAAAAAGTCATTCATATCGTAACGGGAGAGAAAGCGTGAATAGAAGAAGGATATTCAGCACTTGATCAGGTTCGAGGGCGGTTTTAAATTGAGTCCCGGAAATAGATATCGGCGATATCTTGAAGGAAAGAATCTGGAACTCGCTGGGAGATGGAAAGAAAAAGCGGATCAGCTGGGTGCTAAGGGCATTGAACGGTTCCGACTCTCTGATGCAGACTTGTCATGCATGGATTTTTTTTTATTTATCTGGACAAGATGACGGAACGGCNTTTTTTTTTTTTGTGGATCCTCGCACCATTTGTGGTTCTCGCGTCTGTGGATGGATGCATTTTTGCTCATAGGCTCCCGGATTTTGCCCATTTCTCCTTCTTGTTTTTTTTTTTTACTCGCGAACGCGTCGGAGTAGCAAAAATTAAGTCTGTATTTCTTTTCTTTCCGTTCACCTCCACCGCGTTCCTGTCGTTCATCATCCGGTGTGCTTTTTGTGACGTTGTCTTCTCTCTTTTTTTCCTCTGCTCAGATGACGGATGATCATGAAACTTGGCCCAAGCAGTGCTTTATTGCTGATGATCATACCGTGTTGGAATTTTTCGAATATTTAAAAATGACTCGTGTCTAAACACGTAGGTGAACCCTAATGAAGACAATTTTATTTTTAACTGGATTGGTTAATTTTTTTTATTCTAAAGAAGTTTCCAATATTGTCAGACTTGAACGGGACTCAGAAAAAAGAACCATTTTTTTTAATCATTGGTTCGTCGTCTCACAAATCGACAGGAAATGGTGCTCACATTAAAATGACTTCGAAATCCAGCATTGCCTTTCCGAATTTCAAGATTATTCACCCGGCAACAATATTTTCAGCGTGGAAGTCATTAGTTGTTGACTGAATAAGTTAACGAAATCTTCAAATTTTGATTTTAACTCCCTAGATGGGAGAATGAAAGAATTTCAAAGCATCAAAATGACTCTGAAACGCAACCTCGTTACGTCAGATTTGCGAAGACTTGTTAGTAAGAGTTGATTGTTCGTTCAGGTTTTATTTTGCTGTATCGACATGAACACCTTTACGTGAAATGTTCAGTTCTCAGCCTGGTTTTAGAGTTTAAGAAGTCTTGAACTCAGCCTTTTTTGTCAAATTTTCGAAAAGTGGCGTGAGAATGTTTTGTAAGAAAAACGTTTATTAGGGTTTCGTATAAGTTCAATTCTTCTTTTGAAATCGACAGAAACAGCCTTCAGTTATCTGACTTGTTTTAAAGTTATCTTGAACAACTATGACTCAGAAATCCAGATACTGTCAGGACTTCCGATGACTGAGAAGGTTCCAGTTCACATCGCCCTTTTTGTTGAGAGATTTCCGTGGAAGTCGATGAATCCCGTGAATCTTGAACGGCGAAAGAGAAATTGAGAAGATAAATCCATTCCTTTTTGCTTTCCTGAATAATATGGATAAAATCCGCCATCTGAATTGCCAGATCAAAAAAACCGTCATACGAGAGTGGTTTAAATGTAGCTTTTTATCTTCCGTTATTTTCGACGTTTCTGTGTTCGGTGTCGTAAAAATGCGTGTTGAGTGTCGAGTTTTTTTTTTCTGCACAGTTCTGCGAGGTTTTTTGGACGCAAAAACGCGTGTTGCGAATGTTTCCCGGGTTGAAAGGGGAGACAAAAGAGTGTCATGATGATTTTCTGTGAGATCTCATGTGAATGATTTTTTTTTTTCTGCACAGTTCTGCGAGGTTTTTTGGACGCAAAAACGCGTGTTGCGAATGTTTCCCGGGTTGAAAGGGGAGACAAAAGAGTGTCATGATGATTTTCTGTGAGATCTCATGTGAATGATGGGAATCCTGATGGAAGGTCCCGAGATGTTCATCTGTTATTTAAGAGGAAGCAAGCTCTTTCTAGCATCGGATTCAGAACAGCCTGGATCCGCGTCTGAAGAAAAAAATAAGAAAAACTGGTGGATTTTTTGACGTTTTCAGTTACCTTCGAGCAGTTAGCACTTTATAACGCCGAAATTCTTATCGTCCGAAGAAGATTTTCTATGTGTCGGGTTGCTGTTGGCATCGTTCAGGGAGTTTCTTTTTAGGTTGATTTTTGTGATTTTTTTTTTGAATCTCCTAAATTTTTTTTTTCAAATGTTGATCGTGATATAGGTCGGTTTGTGAACAGATAGATTTTCTTTGAATCCTGCTGAAAGTTCGCCCTCCATGCACAAGTTGAGAATCTCCGGAAAAATATGACGTGCGTGGGAAAACAAAAAAGTCATTCATATCGTAACGGGAGAGAAAGCGTGAATAGAAGAAGGATATTCAGCACTTGATCAGGTTCGAAGGCGGTTTTAAATTGAGTCCCGGAAATAGATATCGGCGATATCTTGAAGGAAAGAATCTGGAACTCGCTGGGAGATGGAAAGAAAAAGCGGATCAGCTGGGTGCTAAGGGCATTGAACGGTTCCGACTCTCTGATGCAGACTTGTCATGCATGGATTTTTTTTTATTTATCTGGACAAGATGACGGAACGGCGCTACTTTTGGTTTTTTTTTTTTGGAGATCACGTTGGTGTGATTTTTGCGTAGGATGAGTTTTTATTTGAGAGCAGAATTTTCGGTCCCAAAAACGTATTGTCTTTTTGATGTGGAGAAAATGTGTGAGGAACGAGATCATTGTAATAAAAATTTTGAATTTCCCGAGTTGGTTCATTTTGCTATTTATTCGTGGATTGTTTTTCATTCTGCAGGAAACCGTTGAAAGGCAGATGATTGTTTTTTTTTTCTTCATCATTGCTGTGGGGCAAAATACAGATTTTATTGTTGGTTGGTATGAGATCTTTGTTTGATCCACAAATCTGCGTCGGCCCCAGCATGAGTGAGTTCGAGAAGTCTAATAATACTGTATTGTATTCGGAAAATACTGTTTGGGTACTTCTCGGCAGATCTTCGGGCTGAATCCGCGGTTAGATTGTTCATTGGCAAACATTTTTGGAACACTTTGTTTTTCCATTCCGATTTCTTAAATTATCCCAAGCGCAATTTTGCCGATCTCCGGGATGGACCAGCACATACAATTACGTCTATATTTTAATGTTTGATTTGCAGCTGTTGGGTGTACATGGAAATATTTCACCATAAGTGACAGTGACTTTTCCACATAGAAAACATTCTGCATACAGCAAAATTTCCTGTTTGAACATGGGGTTTTCAGAACTTCATTTCAAGACTTGTCAGCTCTGAGTTGGAATCACAATTAATATAATGTTATTCTCTCTCCAGCGCGCGTCTCTCTATCAGCTTTTAAAACTCCGTGAATGATTAATTTTCCTCTGGTAACTAAGAATTTGATACAGAATGATTTGGTTTATGCTTAACATAGGGGCGAACATGAATGTGCAGTATTTATGCTTAATCTGCGCATTTACTTGCGGGGTTCCAATATATAGGGCTTGAACAAATGGACTGTTGAGAAGAATGTTTTGGTAACTGGAGAAAATATAGAGCCCAGATAATAAAGTACTGTCCTGTACAGCAAATGCCGTAATGTGTTGTGCCATAACAGTAGGGAATGATGAATATGTATTGGCATTGAATGAAAAGAAAAATCCACCCCAATGCGCTGGAACAGTCGAACTTTTGATACAGCATTGGTAATCCTTCACGACTACCTTACGTACGTACAGCCTTCATGACTTCTTTTATTGTGCCTACAGGATGCCGGAAGGAAGCTCGGAAATCCGGATAGCATATGTAATACTGTACTGTCCTGCGCGTATGTAAAGCAGTATACAGCGATGTTCTTGTGGCCTGCCCTCCGAACTGGTGAGCTCTCTGGAGCAAAGAGACGTTCACTGGCCAGCAAAAATGGCTGCCTTCCGAAAGGGAAGGACGGTTTTTTCTAGTTATTGCGAGTGTCCTCACCGATGGAGATGAGCTCAGAGGCCTAATCTGACCCTGCCGGTCAGAATTTATAGATTCGAATGTTATGCTTGTAGAGATCTCTCTGTGATGTTTATGTGCGCTGACGGAGAACCTTAGGATGTCGAGTCTAAAGCATGGTGAGTTTGTCGGTGCTAATACCCTTTACATGTTGAACCTGATATTGAAATACTGATGGTTTATTCATGCTTGAGATAAGCTTTCTTCTGAATGGTTGTTGTCCCCACTCAATTGGCAAAATGACCCTCCCCTCCTATTTTTCTCTGATCCGCTTGACATTTAGTTTCTTTGAAAATACATTACGCAACTTAATATAGGCTTTTTACGGCCGAATGTGTTTCTTCGAGAGGCAGCACAAATGGCAGTCTGATTTGAACTCGCTACGAGTTATGTCGAATTATCCCAATCTCAGTATGTTGCTGTGATTACAAATACCATTATTTCTGCTTGATTATTCCAGGTAAGGGACCTTCGGAAGAAGTTTACGTCGTAGCGAAGTACGACTACGTTGCTACAGGAAATCACGAGCTAGATATCAAAAGGAACGAGCGGCTACTACTTGTTGATGATTCCAAGCATTGGTGGATTGTGCAAAACTCGAGGAACAAGTCGGGTTACGTGCCGAGTAACTATGTTAAGCGAGAAAAGCCTTCCATATTTGACAGTATCAAGAAGCGCGTGAAGAAGAGCTCGAGCTCCGTATCTGGCTCTAAAACATTGCCCAATGCTGGCGGTCAAGAGAATAGTACTTCACCTGTTTCCTCTCCGTCTCGTCGTCCTCCGCCACCACAGCCTCCACCGGAAAACGATGGCATCGGATTCGCTATTGTCAAATACAATTATCATGCCCAGCAACCGGATGAACTTTCCTTAGTCAAAGGAACCCGTGTCGTCATTACTGAGAAAAGTAACGACGGTTGGTGGGTGAGTGATGTTATCTGTATCTGCACGAAGCGCAAAAATTAAATTTTACTTTCGAATTTCGATTTTCAGAAAGGATTGTACGGAAACCAAATCGGTTGGTTCCCTAGTAATTATACTATTGAGGAAGTCGAAGATTCGGTGCACACTTATGCCCGTGCGGAAAACGTAGTCGACATTTGCGTTGCTTTGTACTCGTTCTCAGCTCAGAATGAAGTTGAGTTGAGTTTCAGGAAGGGAGAAAAGTTGGAAATCGTGGATCGTCCTCCGAGCGATCCGGACTGGTTTAAAGCCCGAAATGCAGCTGGCGATGTCGGACTTGTTCCCAGGAATTATTTGCAAGTACGTGATCTTCGGATTTTCCACGCGTTCGTGTTCTTAAGCATGAAGGGCTGAGTATTTTGGTGTTTTTTTTTTTCAGCCCATCTGTCATATTTTTGCGAATCTGAGACGCAATATTTTCATTGCGACTCACATTCGCGAAATGGGTGACGCAATTTTTATAAAATGTTATTATACGTTTTGAAACTTTTAGGATCTAATTTGAGTGGCCAAGAAATTAGATTGCATGTGATCATGGATACCTTAGTTTAAAATTGCAAATAAGGGAGATGTTCTCTTTTTTCATTTTACCTAATAAGCTACCAATTCAGCTAAATGATTGTTCATTTTAGGAGAGCGGACACAAAGTTGTTCAAGGCATCTATGAAGTGCATCAGCTCTCGCGTCGCCCTTCGGTCCAACAACGTGTGCCTCCCGACGGATCGTCAGCATCTGGTCCGCCGACGGAGATGCAGCTTGCTCACGCCTTAGCCGGCCTGGATTTATCTAAACCTCCGGATACTTCCGAAAACCCGTCATTGCAAGGCAAATTGTGGTACTATGGTCGCATCACTCGATCCCAGTGCGACGCATTGCTGGCCATGCACGGTCAAAACGGAGATTTCCTCATCCGGGACAGTGAAACAAACGTGAGATTGTTCGACATCCTAACTTTTCTTGCGTGCTAATATATACTCTGCCTCGTGAAAGTGATCTTAGTGTTCGTTCAAAGTGATGTGTTGCCTTCTTGTCGAATTTTTATGTACATATCTACCTCTACCTGCGTATCATTCGCTGCGCATTTTTCTTGTTGCTAAATTGTAATTCTGTTTCAAAAAACTTGTATCATCGTTGAAGGCATTTTCGGAACTAAAATGGATTATACACGAATACCACAGAAAGGCAATTCGAAGAAGAACGGATACACGAGCTATTATCAGGAAAGTGAAAGAGGTGGTGCAAAAAAAATATCATTGATTAGTAATCTCACCGAAGTGCAACTCTTGAAGCTCGTTTTTTGCGCTAGCTCTGTTCGCACGCGTTTTCGTTTTATGCTTCCTCATTTTCGATGTAAACAGATGGTTATAACACGTTGTTGCTTTCTCTTTTTATTCGTAGGCGGGAGATTACTCTGTCAGTCTGAAAGCGCCTGGAAGGAATAAGCATTTCCGGGTGCACGTCGATGAAAATAATCTGTACTGCATCGGACAACGAAAATTTGATTCCTTGGACAAGCTGGTGGAGCATTATCAGCGGGCACCAATCTACACCAGTCAGAGGGAGGAAAAGCTTTATCTCATCCGCCCGTTGCCCAGACCACAAGGACCCCTCTCTTGAGCACGACCTGACGGATGACTAGTTTGCCTGAATCTCTCCGAGATTTGCGGCATTGCGCAATTCCAGGTTTTTCTTGAGCGATCAATTTAGGTTTCAGATGTGGTCGGAGCTTATTTGGTTGACCTTCTCGGTTTATTTGACTAACGAATTAATATCTCTTATCTGAGGGATGAAATACTCGAGTTTCGTTTCGGAACTACGTGGGCAAACTAAATATCTCGATTTATTGGCACAGACGATTGGAAATCATGAAATATTCATCTAGTCAAGTAGTAACGCGAGGGAGTAGTGGGGAAACATCCTTCCGTTCGGAATATGTTGAGACGCGTGTACAGTCCTTTTATTCAGCATTTACCACCTAATCAGTGATGTGCTCAATCTGCAGAAAAGATTTTTTGAAAATTTTGTTCGCGAATTCTTGCCTCGTTTTGCTTCTATTATTCCTAATATTTTACTATTGAATTCAGAAATACGAAAAGAATGCGTTTGGACAGGTGGATGAAAATGTGTGTGCGTGGTATTTCGTTTTACGAAAACTCTGCTGTAATATCCATCTGCTGCGTAACATTACGAATTGCGAAGATATTCTGAGATTCTTACAATATGAGGAAAGGGTAGCTTCAAAGCAGCTGCGGTGTTGAAACATACGTATTTCAGGTCTTCGAAGAAAAGAAAATTGAGTTGGACAGCTTTGTTTTTCACATGTCGACAGACAATGGAATAATTTGGGTTGCTGCATTTGTTTTCGGAAACAACACTGATATATATTCTGTTAATATTTCGTCCAAACGTAATTCAAGTCGGCATTTTTGTTAATGTTTCATAATTTGTTTAAGGAATGCTTACAAGCTTTGTATGTACAGCTTGTAGTGGACGACGAATGAATTCGTTCCCATGCCAGGGAATGAAACCGTAGGCAATTCAAAGGTAGAAAATCATCTTTTGCTTCAAAGCACTTTACGGCTTGTTCTGTGAATTTATTTGGACATGACGGAAACCAGGACTTTGCTCACTTTGATGTGAGTTTGTTAATGGAATCTTCCGAAATCATCTTGAATGATAGGCATGTCAAAATGTAGCTTGTTTGTTGTGAGGTGGGTCCTTCGGAAGAGCAGGCGGGTTGAAAAAGGTTCCGCCTGCGTTTATTACGTAGCTTCAACAGCGTCTCTCACGATATTGTGATTGTATGATTTCCGTTGTTTCGTGGAAGTGTCCAATGTTCATTCCCATACCCATTGTCCTTCCCCCTTGTCCCCGCAGTTTTGTGTTCCAGTCGTGAGAAAATGATTTTTTTGTCTCGCTGATTGCTAATTAAAGCAGATTTCATTCTCGGTTCTTTCATTCCTTGAATATTTGTTCTTGTTTCCGTAAAGCTTTATTTGGTTTTTTTCTGCTTTTTTTAGATGGGTCGTAATTCGAGTGATGATAGTGATGATTCGCGCTCGAGGAGATCCAAAGATAAATACGGACGAATGCGACCGAAGCACAAGTCCAGTCGACGAAGTCGTGAAGGTTCCAAGTAAGTTTCAGATTTGCTTTATTTCTCCTTATCCAGGGCCAGAGCAGAAAAAAAATCATTTTGAAATTTTAGCGTGAGGGTTTCATCTTATTATGAATTCTTGTAATTCTATTGGATTTGTAATTAGAGCAATGTGGAAATGGGGGATACATTTTTGGAAAGTCTGCTGTGGATCACATTCTTTTTGAGTTACCATTCTTCAAACTCGCAGATTAACAGTATTTGGTGCCATGAATAACGTAAGTAATTTTTTATCAAGCTTACCGTCGATGTGTAATTGTAATTCTTCCAGGTTTCTGAAAATCAGAATTTCATAACAAGTTGATCACGGTATTTTTAATTGTCAAAATTGTTCAATTGCACGTACAGCATTTTGATTAAAATTGTTTCTCGGAAGTAGTAACATCAGCCATTCAAGGAGTGTCCCTCAAAATATGCGGAGTTTTTGGTCTTCTGTGAGAATTTTATAAATTTTTATGCCCGTAAATAGCGTATAATTTGAAATTTTAGAAATTATTTCTTCATTGTATCGACTTGAACACGGTTTATTTTAATTTTGTCGTTGATCGTGAGACCGGACCTTTTTTGCCTTGGCTATATTTGAAATATTCGAGCAAATAAATTAATTGTTCGTGTAAAAAAAATTATTAAAGCTCCTTTTTTTTTTAGCGATGATGACTATAGTGGCAAACGGAGAGAAAGATCCAGCAAAAAATCGTCGCATCGAAGTAGAAAGCGAGACTCTTCTTCTTCAGCGTCGCCTCCCCGCGCGAAAGTGAAAAACGAGTCGAAAGAGCCAGAGAAACGACCTGCCTTCACAGTCATCAAGCTCGAAGGGAAGAAACCCTCTTCGGACGCTGTGCGGCAAGTTGAAAGTGACGGCTTTACCCCGCGGGCATTCGTTTCCTCGAGAACTAGTCGAGCCGTCATAACCATCGACGACGACCCGGATGAGATGTTTCAAACTAGAACGAAAGTCGAGGAAATCTCAAAGGTGAAGGAGGAGGAGAAGAAGGAAACCGAGTGTGATCCCGAAGGCATTGTTCATCCTAATGTGAGTCATCTTCGCCGTCACGAGTGCAGGAAAGATTATAAATTTTTTATATTTTTTCTCTGTCCTTATGTTTGGTGGAACGGTTTAATCCTTCTTGTGGAAATTTTACAACAAAGGTTTTCATTGCAGTTGTTCGGAAATCAAGCCGAAAGAGACGCACGCTGGAAAAAACGTCTAGTCGTTCTGCGACAACGACTTTGCGGAGACAACTCGCATTCATGATTTTTACTTCTGATTCATTTATTTTATTTTTTTTTTCGAACTGAAGAAGATGCATTTTTACTGTCTTTAGTTTACAGCATGTTTGAATGATAGAAACATTTTTACCTATTCCATCGTTTAGGAAATAAATTTTGTATTTGTGAAGTGTGTCATTCGAGGCGACAATGAATTTCGGATTAACCGGGAAAAATTCAGATGGGATGAAGGACCCCTTGGTCCCTTCGCAAGGCGAAAAGATGACCGGAGACGAACTGCTGAGCGGCGAGAAGAAGGGTATCGGTGGGGTTATTTTTCCAGCTGACGATGCTAAGGTTTGTTTTCGAATGTCTTCGTTTCACTTCTGAAGATTCGAAGGTTGAGCAAAATCAACGGTATCGAACTTGACAAAAGTTGTTCCATTTTTGATCACGATTGACCTTAAATTTCCATCTCGGCAAATTTCATGGTTTTCCAGTAATTTCGACAATGGCTTATCATCTGTTCAATTACCGTATCTCTAAAACGCAGCCTCGGTATAAAATATGTTGAACAAGCAGTGATCCAAGGTTTGAAATTATTGTCATCCTTCCGACGAGGAAAGCGAAAGGCTGACGAAGCTCATAAAACAACTCTAAAGCCTTTCTCTCGTTACGAACCGATTAAAGAAAAAAAGTTTTTGATCCTTCCCAGAGGTTTTATTATTGAAGTTTTTTTTTTTTCATTGATACCATGCAGGTTCCCGTTTCTGCATTCGTGAACCCGAAGAACCCAGATAAAGTTGATACCGAAGCCCTCAACCGGGATACTGCGTCCGCATGTATCATCACAGTCACTGACGGTACTGGGCGTGGAGATCCTCAGCAGCGTGCCCTGAAGGAGATGATCGCGGGCAGCGTTTGTCTCGGACTTGTTGTCACAGTGGCTCTGGTGTTGCTCGGAGGTTCCTATTCACTGGGCTATGTGTTGGACTTCGCCAGCGGTGGTAACATGAATGCCAGACATTATCGCGGGTGGTGTGCCGTGCCGTACAATTACTGGAAGCAAGCTGAAGCATCCGGAGATTTGCTGGTGAGGTTATGAATTCCGAGTCACGAACATCGATCGTCTTCCTGTAGCAGGAAGAAAAACGAAACGCATCTTCCGTGCTATTTTCATGTACTGTATACAGTGGGACCCCGAGATGCGGACTTAATTGGTGCTTGAACCTTGTCCCTATGTTGGAGCATCTGCGTGTTGGAACACATTTTCCCATAGTCTTCAATGGGAATATTTTAATTGGTTCTCCTGTTGGTCGATAGTTAAGAAAAAGTCCCCCATAAATTGAATCAAATATTTTTTCTCAACTTCAAGATACAGAAAATAAATGTACTGTACAGAAAAATCCGCACCAAATTTGATTTTTTGGCATCAGAAGGAGCTCAAGAAGCAAAGAACAAGTCTTGCTAGCACACATGATGGAAAAAATAGGAAAGAAACACAAAATTAGCCTGTTTTGGATTATGAATTAGGGTACTTTCATGATTAAATGTATTTTTAGTACAGTTTTTGTAAATGTAAATAGCTCAATTTCTGGAAGAATTGCAGAAGTTGAGAAAAAAAATGTTGAAATTTTCCAGAAATATTGAAAAAGTGTCTGTATCTTAAGTCATTGTCCAGGTGTGGTGGCAGATTTTGTCAGTTTTAAGTGTTCACAAGTCAAATTGTCCTTGTTGTCGCAAAAATAAACGGTAGTATACAATTTGACCTGCAAAATCTAAGAACCCAAATTCCTAGAAAACTTGTCTTCATTCATCACTGTGTGAACCAAGAAAGACCTTGGTTCTCACACTCATTCCAAAAGCCTCCAAGGCTGTTTTTTATTGCCAAATCCTGTTGCTGTTTTTTGTCCTTGAAGGACGGTTTCCCTGTTTTCCAAATCTATTGAAAACACTCACTTCTGCCTGAACTCTGGTGCGTGTCACTCAAGAATACTTGCAAACATTTTGTGTGATTTTGAAGCACAACAACCTTAAAATTGGGTGAAGCTTCACCCCGGTTGCAGCCCAACCAAAGTCTTTGTTAAATTTATTTCTCAAATTTGTTCAACTTTCAATTTTACTAAATCATTCTTAACACGTGTGCCAGAGTGTCTGTATGATGTGTTCCACTATAATTTTCAATTCTTTTAAATATAAATCGCTCAATTTGTTAAAGAGATATCAACATTTTTCCATATTTCAATAAATGTTGATATTCTAAACATTGTCCGGATGTTGGGGCAGTTTTTTGAGTTTCAAGAGTCTCTGAGTCTAGTCGTCCACCTGTCGGGTTGTCCAAATGTCAGGGTCTCATTGTGTTTAGAGTATATTTCAAAATCAAAATATTGTTTTATGCATCTAGCTGGCGGATGACATCCCGCTGTTTTTTCACGAACGATTTGTGCTGAACGTGGAATCACGCGGCGAGAACGAAATTATGCGTGCGGAAGTCGAGGTCCCGGATTTCAAGGGAGGAAGGCATGGGAAGTTTTTGCACGACTTCCGCAAGAATCTGACGGCGATTGTTGACATGACTGGCGGCAGATGCTTCGTCCTGCCTTTGGACACGGAGCATGTTCTGCCTCCGCAATCTTTGGCCAACGTTTTCCAAGACATGAAGAACGGTCGTTTTCAGGTTTGCTTCATATTTCCAGTTTTGTTGTTGGGATAGTTACGTCAAAAAGTTGATCGTTAAAATTGATTAAATATAGCCGGGTTAGCGACTTCGATTGGTTTTAAAACTATCCCCGAAGTTCTTCCCCCATTTCAACGCCCTACGTCCCTGAATTGGCGATTTGCTTTGCTTCAACCTAGGGTTCGCCTGAAATGTTATGGGGATTTCTTAAACGTGAGTCAAGGTAGGATGCGTCGAAAATGATTTCATGGTATCAATTCAGAGTGCTGCGTAATATTTTTTTGGAAATTTAACTGTATCTGAACTAGGGCTAGTGATGAAGGAAGTTTCATTTGGTCCTATATCATCAGGTGGATACTGCAGTGATTCGCGAAACAATGCGTGTAATTTGGCCGCCGATTGAAGACGTTGCATCCCTAGGCGTTTACATCGGTTGGGCCTGCCAACATCGTCAGACTTTCCGCCTGGAAAAAATTGATCCGGAGACTTACTGCGAATCGCGTAAGTTTTTTGCCGCGTCTTCGGTGTCTGAACCGAAAATGTTCTCGGTTTTTTAGCGGCATTATCACGCTATTTCACTCATCTTTGTCTACTTTTAAAATCTAGCGCCGTGTGGAAACTTGGAAGAGATTCAGAAAGAAATTTTCGAGAAGGTTCACGACATGGTCGAGTCCGAAGGTGACATTGTCCGTTACAAGCGAGATGTATCACCGAAAGGAATCGAAGATGAGAAAAATAGCAACCAGATCGTCAAGAAGCGTGGTTTAGTATTCGCCGAATTTGCGGGGAAGAATGTCGTTGAGTTTGACATTGTCGGGCTTGCAGCTTAGCAATTGCAAGGCCTATATTTATTCGGCTATCTCTAGATGCCAGATCCAGACGATTTAAAAAAGATCCAGGAAGTTAGTAGAAGTGTTAAGTGTCGCAGTAGTCTGAGGAAGGAGACGGAATTTTGAACAAGGGCTGATACAGAAGGCCTTTTTGTCAGGCGTATTCCTTGATCGGATCTCAGAAAATCCTCATTCTTTTTCGGTACTTTTTTATTTTCAAAAAGTTGATCATGACTATCCTTGTCAAATGTTACCGCAATGTGGAGAGGGGCAATAATTGATATCCTTGAAAAGGCTTTTTAAATTGTGCAATCTAGAAAATATGCTAAAAGCGTTTGATCTCTTGAGCTCGTTGACTAGTTCTGTTGGTTGAAAAATTTGCGAGCATTTGACCTATGGGGTGATATCACGTTACTAATTTAAAAACCTAGTTGTACTCTTAATTTGTTGAAATCCGACTTATGTTGAGTGTGGTTTGAGGCAGTTTTGTAATATGGTTGGCTTTTGTTTGTGAATGTCGCATATTTTCATCCACTGCTTAGACTTGCATTAGAAGCGATGCGGTAGTCGAAAATCGTGGTGAATTGCCTGTAAGGCTGATGAAAAATGTGGAGGATGGAAAATAACAGGAGCAGATTTCATTATTACAGTATTTCCAGTTCGGAAGCTGAAAAAAACAAAAAAAAAAACGAGGAGAGATACTTGCCCATGTATTGCTTTCATAGTAAGAACGCGTAAGCATTTAAAATTCTTCGTAAAAATTACTACAATGCTTGGAATAATTTGTAGCTGATGAGAGAAAACTTCTTATTCGCCTCTCTTTTATGGTCACTGTACTCGATTTACATCTGAGAGATGTGGGAATTGAACCGCAGGTTTCAAATCTGCGCCCTTTTTTTTGTGGCAAAAAGGTTGATGAATTTTCAAAACATAAGCTTTTCATGTAAGAGAGAACTCTTGGGCTCGTATCACTGCTTCTGTGATTTTATTGGAACGTTTGAACCATTAACCCCGTTCTAGTTTTGATGATTGTGGCCCGACTTTTTTTTTCGCAGAAATTTGTGAGATTTCTTTGTATTGTTCGGTGAGTCGGGGCTTTGAAGATGGTCCCTGCACCGTTAGAGGGGCTGCATACGGGTCCAATGGCGAACATGCCGTCACAGCCTCCGGGGCAGGGTTCAGTGTCGTTGCCGCTGTTGATAGAATTCATTGTTCAAAAAACTTACCATGATCTCACCGTCCTCGTCGAGCTGTGAGTTTTTCTCAAGATCCTTGTATTATTAGACTGCCTTTTTAATATTTTCGTTTGTTCAGACTGCCCCAAAAATCGGACATGGAACGGAAGATCGCCATTGTGGAATTCGCCACAAGAACCCGGCAGTTGTTCGTGCGACTGCTTGCTTTAGTGAAATGGGCTGCATCCGCGTGTAAGGTGGACAAGTGCGCTGTGAGTCAATTATTTATTTAATCACTGGCATGAACAAGATTCTGATGATAGTACGTGTATGCTTGAATTTTCGCAGTCCATTATGGGTTTCTTGGACAAGCAAAGTCACTTGTTCGTCGATACCGCGGATCTTCTTCACAGGCTTTCGAAAGAAACGCTTGTGAATGCGAGATTGCCGAATTTTCTCATTCCTGCAGCTGTGGAAGTTTTAACGACGGGTTCCTATCCGCGACTGCCAACTTGCATCAGGGTGAGATTGCGACAAGCCTTCTACTTTTTTTTTCCCTTTTTGTGAACCCGAGTTATAATCTTTTCTTAATTCGGAAAACCATGTGGTCGCACCTATTGCAACAAACGCCGTCATTGAACAAGCTGCATTCGTTCGCAAATACTGTATGAATGCGATTCGTCTCATGATTAGATCAGCATCGGCAATCGAATACTGTACTTGTCCGTTTGAAACGTGATTTTTTGCATTTGCTTGTTTGTGCAATATCCATTGGGCATTCGATGATATGGAAAGTTTTACCTTTTGTTACATAAGTGTGTGACGGTCACGTTTAATTTCGGCTGGTGGACTCTCTCTACAATGATCTTCTATGGAAAGATTTTCTCTGAATAACCAATTATTTTTTGTCCCTTCTCACTACAAATAAATTTTTTCCTGAGCCCTTGAATTTCGTTGCGGAGTCCACCCATATCAAGCAATCTGTATTTCATCGCCGTAGTTGTTCAGCGTTTAGGTTCGCTCTGTCTACCGTACATCCTCGAATCATGTGGATTTAGCATTGAGTGTAAGCCGTTTCCGAATATTTTTCCAGGACAATATCATACCGCCAGATCCAATAACAGCTGACGAGAGGAAAACAACGCTGAGCAGGTTGAACCAGATCATTCAACATCGGCTGGTGACGACCACTTTGCCTCCGCAAATGAGCGATTTCAAGGTATTTTCGTCGAGAGCTTTCTTTTCAAGATTTTTCATTTATTTGTATGTATCATATGTTCAGATTGCCAATGGGCGAGTGAAATTGCGTGTGGATTGTGAGTTCGAGGTTTCACTCAGCTTGATGGGTGACGGACCTGAAGTTCCCTGGAGGCTTTTGAACGTCAAAATCTTGGTGGAAGATAAAGTTTCCGGAGGTTAGTTTTCAATTGAAAATTATAAAACTCATTTATCCTAAGCTTGTTATTTTTGTCGCCAGGCTCTTGTAAATCGAACATGCTTTGCCATTTGTATTTCAGGGGGAAAAAATCTTGTACACAAGATGCAAGTAGATTTTATGTATCAAGTCATCCAATCACGATTGATGGATCATCCGAAACCTTTGGTTGAGCTTTACGTTTGCCTACACGTGTTCTGTCTGGGATTGCAGTTGGAGGTTCTTAGCGTGCAAACTCATGCACTTTCTAGAGAACGTTTAGGCGACTTGATCAAAATTGAAGACTACCAAGCCGGGAAATCGTTGTCGATTTCTTATTGGAGGTTTGTTCATTCCTTCATTAACTCTTTTACGAGATTTCTCCATTATTTTGGAGAAATCTTATCCCTTTCAGCTAAAAAAAATGTAAAAATTGTCATGTAGCTTTATGTTGATTTTATTATTCGTTTTTTGATGACTATCATCATGAAACAGAGGAATGCGTGGACGAGAAACTGCTCCAAGACGTGGGTTCATGTTAACCATACAAGTGGATGACGGTGAAAAAGGAAAGCCCTTGTCTGTTATTCACACTCCAGTCCTGTCGTCGGACATGTCGGAAATGGCTGACAAGTGAGGCATTCGTTGTTTTTTCCCGAGTTTTGCAATTACTTATGATACATGCTACCTACGTTCTAGGGCCATTCGAAGCGAAGATCTATCGATAGAACGTCTGTTGGTTCATACAATTCACGTCAGAACTCTTGGAAGATTGAAAAAGTTGCAGAAAGAGTTCGCACTGAAGGTGAGTTGATCCATTTCTTATACAATGGGATCTGTTTTTGAAGTTTTCAAGGAAACTGTTCAATCATTTCTTTCGAATAGCCAATAATAAAGGCAATCATATCATTTTAAACGATTGCCTGAATCCTTACCTCTCTTTTCGCATCTCGGTAAAATGATTCACCCACCAGATTCTGCCTCCATGGACGATGGGAGTAAAAATGGCTACCAGTGCATACAACATTTCCTCTTTTAATCATCCGCGATTCCCGAGTTGGTGACCATTTTAGTTTTTACAATTTCCAGCTGGGTCTCGGTGTAGTCGCGTGTCTCAAAAATTGACCCGAACCGTTTGTGACGTTCCCTAATCATCAGTGATTTCCAAGTGGTATCAAAGGTTTTCAAATTTGAAGAAGACAAATTCAAAAGTTGCTATCCTTGAAAATAACTTGAAAATTTTGACGAAGAGAACAGGGGCGTGTGTTTCGTATTTGATGGAGAATATTTTGACGAAGGTTAGAAAAATAAATCCAATACATTGTTTCCTCCAGAAATCAGACATAAGTCGTATTGTTTTCCTGTCGAACAGTCAAACTTCATGAACCCGTTCGTATCTTCTTCAGGTGAGTCCACAGACGGAACCCATGCTACGAGGATCTCCAGCAGTATTGAGCATTCCGGTGTTGACGCCCTGTTTGGAGACTGAACATCTGTTGATCTCTGTTGACACATACACGGGTCTTTATATAGCCCACGTGCCGCAGTATTCGGAGTCGAAGGTTACGGAAGAGATACAGAATTGCCTTAACAATAGGGATAAGGATAAATTGGATGGTCTTGTGTCCGATCTGAGACTGTGGATCGCTGCCGTGAGTACTGTACCATAATTATTGCCTTGTTTTATTTTATTGTTTGAAATCAAGTCAAATTCAGTTGAGGTCATTATCTGTTGTAAGGTGCGTTGAAAATACAGTACTCTGTATGTGTTTTTGAAAATTCGTCTCCCGTATGTTTTAAATTCACAACGTACAAAATTTAAATTTGTGGTGGCTAACTGGAAGATTGAGAACAATTACATAAAGCTACAAATTTCTGAAGAAAAAAGATTCGCTGATTCTAACGATTATCTCTGAACCAGGGAACCTACTCTTCATAATTCCTCATGCGCGAAGAGTATGAATTTGTTAGCATACGGAACCTAATCTGAATCAGTTTATAACTTGAAATACAACACTTCGTCATAACCCGTAATTTCAATCAAAATTGATGCAGAAAAATTTGATATCATGGAATGTAAAAGACGAGTCTCTTTGTGTATAGTAAGCGATTGGAGTAAATCAAATTATTTTTGGAAGATCATTCAAACTGAAACTTCTTTTTTTTAGAAACACGTGGAGAAAAGTGTGCAACATTTGCCGGCCGTTTGCTATGAGCGATTGCCACTGTTGCACAGAACAGATCATGAGATCACGAAACTGGAGCGACACAAGAGATACATTCGTCTTCACAAGCATCCCTGGCACCTGATTGTGAGTGATACGATTACATGTAGATATCTTTGGTTCAATTTTAAATGTCAAATGGACTGGAGATATTCGAAATATTGTAGTTGTATATTTCCTTATTTTCTGGCTTGATCTACAATTTCTTGAAGTTGTTGCATAGTATGGTCAACTTGAGCCGTTTTTTCTCAAAATGCTATTGGAAGAAAGAATCCATAATGAAAATGAGCGCTTCACGATGGTGCTATTTACGTGCTCGCTTCTCTTTTCATGAAGAATGCTTTTATTTTTTCTTCTTCGATCAAAAGGTTGTGGAACTTAAAGACGCGGGTCCTGTTGCTCTCGGAGAGGTTGAAGTTCGCTTGCATGTACTCACCGTGAAAGCTTCTTCAATCGAGGACAATCCTCTGGATGACAAGTTCGAAGCTGCACTTCCAAGATCATTCCTGAAAGTTCAAACCCTTGTAGAACTCAACGAGTTTCTCTGCCTTCATGGATTGGATGTGAAAGAAGGTACAGCATTTAAAAAATTGCTATTGCCTTTTTACTCATCCCTATTACCCATACATATCCTCTCGGCGGAGCTTAATAAAATCTTTTCTTCAGGCTTTGTTTATTGTTAGTAGACTATTTACCTTAGGTTCATCGTTGGTGACCTTTTTTATGAGATTCTCGGTAATGTTCCGACGTCGTATGGTACTGTATATTGCATTCTGAAGGGGATTTAAACTCCCGATTTTGCCTTTTGAAATGTCAGGTGGGTGTTCCATGAAGAAAGTATCCATGACTGAGAATATCCGTTCACAACCTAAACTAACATGGATGCTTCTCCTAATCGACTCAACTCTTATGGAAAGGAACGAAACATAATATGCAAGTTTCACAAATTTTATGGTGCATGAAATAGCGGGAATGTGCATATCAAGCGCCGACGCAAAAATAGTAAAAAATTCTCGATTTTTTGATTGTTCAAATTTCAGAGTACGTGGGCAAGGCCGGACGAAAACGTCGCCGAGTTTCTGCACCATCTGGTGGATATGGTCCTGGATTTTGCTCGATGTCCTCTCCTCAAGATGAAGATGCCTTAGTTGCTAGTACAAACGCAGGTTTTCCGCCTCCACCACCTGCGAAGAGGCAGAAACACGTTAGACTTGCTCCAGATGTCGCCCACATGGTTGCCTTGGTTGATGACCGTTTAGTGTACGCAGCGTTGGAGCATGAGTTAACCAAACGACGGGTAGTTCACTCAGGTGCGCACTTCGTTTCGTGTTTTGTCGGCGAGGATACACCAGATATGCTCTACTAGTCTATTACATACGAAGATGTTCTCTACGACTGTCGTGATAGTTCTCAATCTTTCTTTTCCGAAGTTGCATTTTTACGTCACCTTTATGTTCGTATGTTAGCTAGAATTTGTTTTAAAATTTTCGGGCGGAAAATTACTGACGTTACACAGCAGACGGAAATTTTTCGAAGCCACAACTGATACATGTTTATCTCTCTCCTCTCGCGAAATTTTGTCTCGTTGGTACGGCTGCGGGATCACGGAAAAGTCATACGCAATCATTTTTATCTATATTTATGAACTTATTTTCATCCATCAAAGGTAACTTTTATGCATGTACAGTATTAATGGTCTTGAAAACTTTCTCTCAGGTCAATGTCAGGTCTTTTGAAGAATTATCTTAACTAAAAAATGAAATCGTTGACTTTGTCATAATTAATTATGCATACTTGGCTTCTCTTCTAGGTTTCCGTGCGGAGACGGAGTTCGGAAACTGCTTGGACGTCATTTGGATTCCCGCTCCAGCAGTTGGCTTAATGAAAGAAAGTCCTGAGGATGCCCGAAAGTTGGATGAAGATTTGAAAAATGTTGTTAAGGGTCTCAGTTCACGGCTGACCTCGGTCCGAGCGCGAGTATGCTGTAGGCCGACGAAATCTTGGATAGTTGAATTAGTTTTTAAATCTTCGCCAGTTGCCAGGTTCTGTCTGAAGGACGACGGTAAGCGTTAGCTGCAACGTGTCAATATCGAGAGTTATGAATTTTTTTTTAATTCTTGCAGGTATTCGACAAGTCGTGCATTTAATATATGATGTACAAACCAGTGACCTGACGCATTTAACTGTTGATGCCTTTCTTCGTGAATGGGCCCAAATTGTTCGTCTGTACCAGCTAGTTGTGCGATTCGCCAATGATTACAAATCGAGTGAGCTGATTGATTTTTACGCTTCGTTGCTCTTGATATGGAATATTCTTTTTGTTGTTGTAGACTTCGTTGGGCTTAAGGAGTTGGTGAAGATCAAGTCGTATAATTACAAGCGACTCGTTTTACTTTACGGGCCGGGATATCGATGGATGCTGACGTTACAATGGAATGCTATGGATGAAATGTACCACATGTTTTTTGGTAAGTTCGAAATGGCTTATGTTAATCCTGAAAATTTCTATGCTTCAGGACTGAACTCTTTTGATAATGATTGTGGAAATGCCTGAGTAATCAGTTTCGTTTTTTTTTTTTTGCTTGAAGCAGACTAAAATATCTCAACTTAGCCTCTCCTAATCTAAACCAAGCTAAGTCGTTGTATTTTTACGAAAATATCGGAGTCGTTTTCAGTGTCGACTAAATGCAACAAAATTGAAGAACAAACTATGTAATGATAGAGACGTTGGGTATTGCAGTGAAGAGAAGCAATGATGGTTTGGATTCTTTCTGTCTATATTTTAGGAGCCCAATCGGATCTTCGCAATCCTCATGCGTTGATGAGTCCTCTTATAACGCGGTGGTTCAACCGTGATCCAGACCTTGCTCATCTAGTAAAGATGCTCTGCGAGACGCTGAATCCTTTGTCTTCTTTGGCTAAACTCAGCACGAGACCTCACGTGGGGCAAGTGATAACGGTGAGTAACATTTTTGTGTGTAAACATGCTTTAGGCTTTTTGTTTAAAATATTTTTCCTTCGTTTCACTTTTGGAGCCTGTTTGGGTAGCCCGTATCTAATTACAGTATTTCGAACATTTCCTTTGAATTTTTTTGTCGGTGATAGGGTTCATCGTTTTTATTCACCTCGAATAGTGATTTAATTGAAATTTTTTTGCAGAAACCTCAAGCTCCTCTACCGGTGTTCCTGGTTGTGCCCGAATCCGCGTTTCATTTACGGGTTTACTACTACTCCTGCTACTGCTTGGAAATATTTATTCGAGGGAATGGTTTGGTTGGAATCAGGGATGGTGCCTTTTCGAAATTCAATTGGAGCAAAGCTGTGGGAGATTTGACACCCATACCCATGCTGAAGGTGAGCTTTGTCGAGTGCTTAAAATTTACCTCAATGAGACTGAACACTTGCCATTTAATCGTCACTTAAAATCATTTTTGAGGATTGATAGTCAGTGGATTCGTTAAGCTTTCTACGAAAAGTGAAATCCCTGACTAATATTGGCTTAGTGCGACGTTAAATGCTTAATTACCCTGATATTGTGTTTCAGACCTTTTTAAACAAATTTTATGACGATGCTGCCGTGAGTTCAAGAAGTCAAAAGGGAGTCGGTGCTGGGATTATGTTCAGTGGGAAATCCAGTATGATTTCAGCGGAGGATGATAATCCTCCTTCGCCAATGGCGATGACATCAGGAGGATCAGGTTTTGGTCATCACTATCAGCATCAGCAGCAGATGGTGAAATCATCTCCTTTCCAGGTTCGACCGCATTCGTAGAATTCTGCTTCGTCTCTTCGATCTCATCATGAAAGATATTTCTTTTTTTGATGTGATCAACTTGGAAAAATAATGCTATAAAATTTAGAATTATTGCCTAGTAATTGTATGAACAAATTCTTGTTGGTCGTATTAGATATCATGTTCGTGAAATGGCATCAGTGTAATGCTATACCCTTCGTGTCTTTAGCAACCCATGACACCTCCTGTTGGTGGATCAAATCCGCAAACTCCTGCAAGCCCGGCGTGTTCTCAAATGCCGCCGCCTGGGCCATCTCCTGCTGGAGGAATGGCGCCTGCGAGTCCATTCACGTCAATGAATCCCACTGCGGCATCGCCCATGCATGGTTGGCCGGGTTCTCCGAACGTTGGATCGAAGGTAAAATTACAAATACCTTAAGTTGAAAGCTGTTTCCAGCTAGTTAAAGTTTCTTTGAAACGTGCGTTTTCACTGGGGCTGGAGATTGTCTTCAGCTAATGTCGTTCAACTCTTCGTCGGCAAGACAAAAACGATGTTTCATTCAACTCGACCGTATGAAAGAATGATGCATCGCCGAAAAAAAAACGAAAATGTTGCGATGCCATTGAGAAAATGGGTTTTGTATGGTGCGCAAGAATAAATTTTCTGCGAGAAGGCTGCATCTTTTAATCTTCCGATTCAGGAGTACTGTATAATCCACAAGGAATAAAAATGTTCGCTAAAAATTTCCACAAAGGGAAGAAAAAATCTTTTAAATTTTCAATAGCCATTAAAATTTCCTCAGTAACTCGAAAAATTCTAATAAGTATGCTACCGTCTTTGGCGATTGTCGTTATAACTACTCCAGGAACCGAAAACAAAAGGGCTCTTGGGTGACTCGGCGAAATTTTGTAATTATTTTGAAACTGCGTACAAGTCCATGAACCCCCAGCGCCTCCAAAAAAACGGGTCGCACCAAAAAATTGGTCAATGTCAGCCCTCCCCCTTTAAGGAAGGGCAAGAAGCTTTGACATGCCGACCTTCCCAAGGAGTGAGAAAACAAAGGAGTAGTTCACTGTTCAGGACTTTCACTTTCACTCTGACCCTCGTGAGTACACTGCAGACGTCAACCTTGCTTGTACAGGCGCCGATGAGAAGCTGGTATTCATTCTTCCGCTGCCACACACTCGGAACAATTTTTCATGCAGAGATTAGTGCATAACCGTAACTTGTTGATACTTCTCTTTTATACTCTTTGCCGGTATGGAATGAAAGGATCTATTGAAGAATCTTTTGCAGTACAGGAACCAATAAGCTTATATTTATCCTTCCCCTGCCACACAAAATCAAAGGATGGGTATTGAATCTCATTCAATTGCACGTGTGAATTGCAATTGTTTTCCCACACAAATTTCCTGGGACCTTCCAATCAGACACTATACACAATTTTGCATTCTGAGATTAGTGTTGAACAGTATCTTGCCGGATTTTTTCATGAATTTAAAAGAAATTATTCACAAGCTAGGGTATCAGTCTGCATTCATCAGTCAGTGTGATTCCTCTATTCCTGTTAAAATAACTTCACCTTACCTGCGAGAATTTTGGGCATACCCAATTTTTTAATCTGAGCTTTTGGCCACCATATAAAAAAATTGCATGTGCAGAACTGTACAGTAGCAAAACAAAATTTTGAACAACTTCAAATTGAAATTTTCATTTTTAAAATGTTCTTCAAATCCAAAATTGTTCCAATAATTAATCTTGTACTTCAAATGTATGAACTTTGGAGAGGAAAATGCCTGTGTCCAGAAATCCAACATCTCAAAAATTTTGTATGCCCAAAAATTGGGTAGGCCCAAATACTGTATACGCAGGGGGGGGGGGGGGATAGTTCTGTTTGTAATGCAGAAGTTGCAAGTGTAGTTTTGCATGGGGATAAGTTTGTTCATATGGTGCTTACGTAAATTTCAAGAGGCCCAGAAAAAAACTCCTGGGAGAGAAAATGTGGCAGCACAAAAATTCACCCAGGCATACCCTAGGCCTGAAAATCTTGCTTGATCATTATTGTTGCAGCATTTTTATTGCATTAAGGAGGAAAATGTCTTGGTTGAGTGTTACCCTGCCCACAACATAAAAATACACTTGTTGGTTCAACATGTTTTAAAAATAGATGTTGGAAATTGATCCTGCAGAGTTTTAACAATCTCAAATTTTTTGTTTTACTTAGATAGTCCTGTCATTTGGCTACACTTCAGTGCTGTTAAGCATTAGTCTCTGACAATTTCAATGCATTTCTTCATTCAAGAAATCCAATGATCAGAACAGTGGCAACAATTGGTAATTTGGTTAGTTGATCAAGCTGCTCTTCAATAACAGAAATGAGGCTGCGGTTGTCCTCAAAATAAGTCCCTCTCACATCATTCATCACTGCTGCTAACAGCCAGAAGTCACAGGGTGCAGTGAATTTTTGCATTTCTTGATTGAGGACAAAAATGTTTGGAAAACAATTCTAAGACAAAACAAATTCTGCAACTTCTGCCTGTGCCTGACAATGCAGAATGATCTGAAAGGGATTGCTTTTGAGAGCAATGACAGCCTCATTTCTGTCATCAAAGATCAGCTTGATCAACTAACCCAATTTCCAAATTTTGCCACTGTTCTGATCCTTTGATTTATTGAATGAAAAAATGCATTAAGTGGCAGAGACTGTGCTGAAAAATACTAAAGTTTTGTCAAATTATGGGGATATGCAAGTAAAAACAAAAATCTGAAATTTTTTGAACTCTGTTGTATATATTGAAAACATTTTCAAAAATTATGAACTATTCCTTTGCATTTGTGGGCAGGATTCCCCAGTGGCAATCAAGGGGCTTCATCAGCATCAAAAATCTGAAATTTTTTGAACTCTGTTGTATATATTGAAAACATTTTCAAAAATTATGAACTATTCCTTTGCATTTGTGGGCAGGATTCCCCGGTGGCAATCAAGGGGCTTCATCAGCAACAATTTAACGTCTAATAAATGCAATCTTGATTCTGATGCGCAATATGCTTGCTTCCAAGAGAAATTTTGGACCAATTTGTCAGCAGTTAAAAATTTAAAATCAGTCTAATTTGAGCTCAATCAGTGTCTACATTCAAATTTGGGATTTTATTTTAATATTATTGTTTTAGAGTCTAAAATATTTCTAACATATTTTATTGTTCTAAAAAGTCCTGATCATGGGGGGATCTGCAGATTGATGGATTTGAGAGAGCATTGGAATATCTTTAAAAAAATGTTTCATTCATGCCAAAAATTGATGTATTGTAACTGTATACGAGGGTTCTAAGAAAAGTTCTCGTAATATAAATGAAAATGGCATACAATTGAGATGAAATTTTTTTCCCCACTGGAAAGATGAGGTGCCCTTCCTGCAGATTTTTTTTCCTGTAGCCGCCTTCACAGCCGCCAATGTGGCGGCTGTTGATGTTGATGCTGGGCTACAACAAAATAAATCTGAACATGTCCGAAATTGAGTACAATTTTCAGGAGATTTGATCACCAGAAATGGTAGGGAAAAGGAATTAATTAATTCGTACTCAATTTTGCTCAAATGCGCGCCGTACAGGAGGGCGCGAGTGTGTCCCCAAATAAGGACAACACTGTTGGCATCCAAAATACATTTTCGTACTCAATTTTGCTCAAATGCGCGCCGTACTGTAAGGCGCGAGTGTGTCCCCAAAATGAGGACAACGCTTTTGGCATCCAAATTCTCGCAAAAACCCAGGCCCTGCCCCAGACAAAGGACTCCCGGCGGACCCTTTTTTGGGGTCGGATAGCCCTTTTTTTTGTGTGCATGAACTGCAGGATTACCTGCATGCACTCGTCCGCGGTACGTAATACGTGCCTCTTTTTTTAAAGAAAAAAAGAGCAAAAACCGAGGTGCGCGGCATAGTCGAGTATAAATTCACATTTTTGAAAATTGGAAGCTTTCTTCCCACTTCAAAATGCTTTAAGACTCCTTTATTTGTATATTACTGTTATTTGTATGAAACAAAAACTTTGCAATTAAATGTAATTTTCAATTTAAAACATGCACAATTCTGTGTTAAGCGTGTACTTGAAACAGCCGTATGAATTATTCCATGCTATCCTATATACAGTGAGACCCCCACATGCGGACACCTCAACTTGGGGACAATTCAACTTAGGGGCATTTATTTTTCAATAAAAAATCTCAAAAGAGGTCCAACATATGGACACTGCCTCGACATGAGGACATTGCATTATGAAATTGAAAATAAATTTTAAGAAAATTGACTTTTATTAAGCTTAATTGCAAGAAACAGTTATTTCCAAGCCTACAATCTATGCAAGAAAAATTCTTTGGTACTTTTCCCATCACTTTTCCATCCATTCAGCTAATTTAAAAAATTAACTATAGCACAGAGGGACTGCCTTCTCTCTTTGTGACTTGGATGTTATTTTTACAGATGCCAATATTTCAATTAACTGTAAAAAAAGGTATACTATTCAATGCTCCAAATGTTCTTATTGGGTTGAGAAGATATTCCCTGAATCAAAGTCAAGTGGCAAACAAATTTTTTTCATGGAATGCTGAAGAAACATTTCTTCAAGCCCACCTTTATAATTACTTGATTGTACTCAGATATACAGTACCTGCTTCATTGGTGCTGAACTTAATTTTAGCAATGAAGGAATGAATGAACAGAACACTTTATTTGCCACTTTTCAGCGTTCACAAGGCACAACCAAGACTCCCATATTTCAGCAAAGAATGAAAATTTTTCAAATGCTCAAGTCTATCAAGTAAAACTTTTTTGAGTCTGCAAAACTTGTATGTAAGTTTGTTGGTCTGCGTTTTTTTTTTTTAATTGCTGGTCCTCAAAAAATTCGATGAATATTTGCTGATCCACGGGCCCCAAAGGTTGGGTAAGACTGCTCTAGACTAGACTAGAGGATGCCATCGACCGATTCATTAAATCAGCTCATTTTCATTAAGTCTTCGCCAGTCGTCAAAACAGAAAAAATGACCAAGGAGCAAAGAGTTTCGAAAACTTTATTAAAATAACTAGTTTGAGCCCATCCGGTTGTGTCTTCCTATTGCCGCACCCAAGTACTGCTTTGGAAAAAATTCGCCCCACTCGTCCTGACCTGATGTAACGATTATGCTTCGAGATCGTCATCGAGAGCGCATATTGAACAGCGATCATGATGCAACCCCGCGGGGTTGCCGAGAAACGGGACACTAGAACGACCTGATTAGCTAACCACCAAGTTTCGAAGCGAAATGATCTTGGGTAACTTTTTCACGGCGACGGCGGCGGAAAGAATGAGGAAAAATGACGGGTTATTAATTCTTCAAAGTTAAACGGCTCGCATCCTTTCGCTACCTTCATCCTCATTTTCGATGGGAATGACGACGCTTTCTTTTTCAAATATTCGGATGAAACCTGACAGCTGCGAGGCAAAATGAATTAGACTCCATGGAGAATAAATCCAATGATCAGATACAGTATATTCACAGATGGTGTCGTTTCCATATTTTTCTAACCAGAAAAAGCTGTCAACCGAAAGAAACGATCATTTCATAAATTCACTGGCATCACATCTATACTACGAAATTCCGGGAAACCAGAAGAATGTAAAATCACATTTTCAAAATCGTGGTTTTCTCTCATAGATTGACAAAATCACGATCGAATTCCGGATATTCGTAGATTTTTATACATTAAAATTTTCTAACTTATGTAATGATTTAATCAAAATTGAAATCGATTGCAATGATGAGAAGGCAAAAAAATGCCATTCCCTGAGGAAAGTTCGTTTTTCCTTATTTGGGGGGGGGGGATCATTGGAAACTTAATTTTATAAGAATAAAATGAATAATTAGGTAACTTTTGTATTAGTCGCAATAATCATTTTGCACAATCCAATTTACTATAAAAATTTGACCTTGTACACGATTTGCGCATGACATTGGAGTTGAAACGCACTTCAAAATCCAGAGCGGCAAAAATCGCAATATAAAGAATAATGTACCGTATTTAAAACCATGACTTACCAGGTTTCTGACAAAAGTTCTCGAAATGAAAATGAAAATGGCGTCTGATTGAGCTGAAAAAAAATTATTCTTTAGGGCAAACATATTCTTTGGCACACAAAAAAGCAGCCCTGTTTGACAATTTTTTTCAATTTTTTGCAAAATGCACCCTGGCAGAGTTTTGCTATACACTCAACAGATGAGGCACCCTTCCTGCAGTTTTTTTTGTGGCCCAGCTTTCCCCTCAGAATTCTTGAAATCAACTTGGCATTCTTTCTAAGGGTTGCCTCCAGGTCATCCAATGCAATTCCGCCATTTTCATTGACAGCCGCCACGTTGGTTAAGAGCCGCCACATTAGCCCCAATGTGGCTGCTGTGAAGGCGGCTGTCAATGAATTATAGCATATAAATTGGCAATCAGTGAAAAAGGAAGTACAGTCAAACCTCAATAAGATGCCACCATTTGTCCAAAGCAATTCTGGCAGTTTAAAGGGGTTGGCGGTTTATCAAATATTTCATTTTAAATCATTTGATCATAAATACTTGATTTTCCTTCAAAAGTAATAGAAATACAAGTTTTCCAGAAACATCAGTAATTTTCCAAAGAGTATTGCTGTGATTTACGCATTACTCCTTCAGAAAATTAATTTTTCTGTATCAATTTATTCAAATTTTAAAATTAGGTCTATATATTGTTCAAAGTTTTTGAAAAATGAAGATTGTCAGTTTGTTTTGTTCTTACCAATACAAGATCCTGGACAGAAAATATAATTGTACCCCAATGTTGGCGTTGTAACAAAGACAAAACTAATAAAAAAACAGCACTTTTACTTCATCACTAATGCTGGCAGATGGCGGTTGGCGTCTTATTGAGGTTTTCTATGGCATTTAGTATTGAGGAGATTTGTTTCTTTCAAAATGTTGGTGGTTGCCAAGGGTTGCGCTTTATTGGGGGGCGTCTTAACAGGGTTTGACTGTACCTAAAATCATGACTATATTCAAACCAGGGTTTCCTCTCCAAGAATCCCAAAACTCAGACACAGGAGTCTTCGATAATCTGAATTCTACTCATAATTCAATTTAACGAGTAATTTGCAAGAAACTGAGTCGCATGTTTCAAATTGCACGCATTTTCCTCAGAAGGACTGACTTGACGTCGAGGTACGCAGAAGCGTCGCAAATTCCTGTCGAAAAATCTCGACGCACGTCCCACAGCAGCCGTCGCTCGTCAACTGATTTGAATCGACCTCACTCTTATTCCCACGAACCGGAAAGAATCCACAGACATTGGAATCGTTTCGAAAGACCAAAGCGGAAACAAGGAGAAGAAACTGCGAAAAACATGGTTGTGGTGAAGAACTGTTGCGGATGTTGCGACCTGAGGAAAGGAGTCCTGCTCGTCGCCATTCTAAATTTGGTGAGAATTCTGACGCTTAAATTGAAAGCCAAAGATTCGCAAACCAATTCTGACACGATGACCTGAATAATGAGAGATCAAAATTGCCATTAATCTTTCCATTGCTGAAGAGGCACATAATTTTTAAAGCTAAAAAGCTGCTGAGCCATTGGTTCCCGGAACTTGGGTCATTCTGGTTTTCTTGTGGCACTGCTGATGCAGATGCAACAAAGATTTTAAATTTGGAATAATGAATTTTTTATAATGAAAACATACCAGTCAGCGAAGTCTCTAATTATTTTCTACTCACAGTACACCACTGTATTAGTCCAAAAAAACAAAACAAAAAAAAACTCAGCATTATCCACCCTCAAAGAATTTCAAGAAAAATTCACTATTCAGTACCATTCCAATTTCGAGATTTAAAAACTCAGAAATTTTATTGGATTTGTGCGACGTCGATCAACTAACAATGAAATGAAGTTGATTGACTGCTGAGCTGCTGTGATTAAAATTTGCAATTGCAAGAAATTTGTCCTAAAATAAATCAATGTTTCGGCAAAGACTTTATAAGGGAAACCTTGCACTTTCAGCCTCATTTGAAAATCTTCAGTTTCTTTTTCTTTTAGTGCAGAAGTCATTTTTTTAACCATCAGGAAGTTGAGAACCGGTGTCAAATGCAGATCTGGGTGTAATGAACACATGATCGATTCAGCCATACAGTGGGTCCCCTGTTACAAAAGACCTTTTCGACACAAATTTTGCATTATGAAATTTTGTAAAGGGAATAAAGTGGTTCACTTGAGAAATTTTTTTTTTCATTTAACAAAATTTCTTCGCCAAAATTTTCTCGAATTTCAGCAAGTTTTGGGCTGAAACTTCGGAATTCCTCACAAATCAAGTCAAATATTGAAAACAGGGAAACCGTTTTCCGTTTTGTCTTTGGAATTTGTGAAATTCAGGAAGGTAAGCGCACAAACTGGTAGGACTACTTGAATTTAACATTAATCAAATTAAAATTCACGAATTCGTCCTGAAAAACTTTAAAAAATACACAGTTTTCCGGGTTCTTCATGGTATTTTGGTGAGTGTCTGAAGTACTGGAACACTGTATTTACGCAGATTACTGCATTTACTCAAATATCACGCGCATATTATTTTAAAGATCAAATTCAATAGGATAAAGGGTTTCCTTTATCCTATAAAAACAAACGCGTCATAGGCGGGTTCAGATGTACATTTTTATTTTATTTAGCAGTTTAGGTGTGCATTATACAGTAATTGATCCTAATGATAAATTTTGAATGAAGCTGAACAGAAAAACCGATTTAATTTGAAAAAAAAATTTAAAATTAGTGGAATTCAGGTTCAATTCATGTCTAAATTCAAAGTTGGGGCTTCTCGTCTTTGAAATATGGTACAGTATATTGCACTTTTAGAGTCGTTAAAAATGGGGTGAGCGTCTTACAGGGGGATACAATTATTTATATACTGTATTTGACTGAAAACCCGTGTTGAGTGTTTTATTGGATGGCGCGTGGTACTTGTGTAAAAACGTAAATAATTGTAATACTTTACAAGCTCAAAGGAATTTGCGTTTTGCATTACGAAAATTCCACATAACAAAATAAACCCAGAAATATGGATTCGTTTGATTATGCGAGGACCCACTTCCGATTGAATTACAGTCCTGTACCTTAACTCCAAATTTTTCAGGTCATTGCAGGGGCCATTTGCGGATATTTTATTAACGTCCTGGCGAACTACAACAACAACGACGTTTATGGAAACGTGAAGCAAACATACGACGGTATAAAATCCGGCCTGGTTCCCGCTCTCAACGATTGGGTGGAGGGTTTCATGGGAAAAGACGAAGCAGAAAGAGGCAGTGAGTTTTTCCTTTCAACAGAAAACAAAACTAGAGAAACAAAATAATCCGACAAACTTCTCATTTGTTTCTTTCCCTGCGCAGCACTCAAGAACGGTGTGATCGTCATCGTCACCATCTGCGCCATCTACGTCGTCATTTCCACAGTCATGGCCGTCGGAGCTTACTATGCGAGTATAAATTTCATTACAAGAAAGAGTTCTTAGCGTTCGAGTCAGTCGCCTACTTATTTCAACATTCAATCCTCAGAAGTAGGGCTTATTTTTCTGTGCCCGAATTCAAGAGCTTATCTGAATTCACATTGGGACAATATTAGGTATGAGTTGAATTCAGTCTGTTGAACTTTACATATACTGTAGCTGCTTATGTCTTAAGTTACCTTAGTTATGCAGAAACAGTCTACTGTAATGTAATGGATTCATGTAGGATTCGCACACTGCCAATTAATATTTATAGGAAGAAAAATCAAAAGATGCATTATCAAAGCTTTGAGTGCCTTGCTGGAAACAACTAAATGAAGAACTGGCCAAATCTTCACAGTACTGTGGATTCCTGGATAATAAAATTGATGTGTTTACTCCATTGCAGTATATTGCACACCTTTTTTTCTCAAAATTGAGAGGAAAAAGTGGGTGTGCATCACAGTCAGGTATACATTTTTCGAAATGTTTTAGAAGTTTATGTGTGCATTGTACTTGATTCTAATTTGAAAATTTGGACCAGTTTTAAATTTCAATCAAAATTTTCTTAAATTCACGTTTATGCATAATTTCAAATTTGGGCGTTCTTACTTTTTTAATTGCATGTTTTAGATGTACTAAATATAGGATGTATATCTTGCTCAGGGATACTGTCCATCACGATTTTAGACTGAAACTCCTGGTTGTGTCTTACCAGCAGAGGATGAATGATACAGCATGTGGAAATATGGCAACCTATTCCTGATGAATTTCATTGAGCAGATAAAAATCAGGAATTATTACTTTATTTTTTATCTGCGAATTTCTTTTAATAGGGCTCAGAAAAATATACAAGAAATAAAAAATTTCCGATGTAATAAATAGAATTATTCTTTTAAAATAATAAGTAATAAATTAAGAAAACAAAAATTAGTTTTTTTATACAGTATAAATTTTTTCCCTCAACATTTTTTAGGATTAAATGGAATACCTCGTCGGTATTCAGATTATCCTGATGCTTTTGAATTTCATTGAGCAGATAAAAGAATGTCCTTCAGGCTTCATGGGAAAGTAATTATGCAGCTCCACGAAATAACAAATCTGGGGTTATTTTTGGTTGCCTGGATAACGTAAGAATTTGTTTCCTTATTTTCTTTGAAGAAAAGGTTTAGCCCGCCTTGGCAACAATTTACAACTGTTGGCTGACCAGCAGCTTAAATGATGAGACTAGAGGCTTCATAAATTTAGCTTTCCTTTTCGCATGTGCCAACAAATCGCTGTTGATCTAATGAAATTCAAGCGTTTTCTCCATCTTTTACAAATTATTATTCTTTCTTTTGCACAAATTCCAGCAATTTTCTGAAATCCATGCACTATATTGTAGCTGAATTCATGAAAAAAATGTTACTACCGTATGCAAAACACTTTCCTCAGGCAGAAATTGTGTTGTACAGTATATAGACTTTTTAAGCAAGTCCTTTTTTATGCGGTGATCCACTGTTTAATCTCATGTTAAACCTATCTTGGGATACGGGTCTCGTTCTGTTTCAACACAGTCCAATATTGTACTGCACTGTACAGGTTATGCTTGAGGTGAGGTTACACGGGATGACCGGAAAGAGCATATGGCCTGGAATATTTCCACGCGGCCCAGAAGATTTGTTAGCGCACGAGGGATACTTGCATTTTGTTCAATTTCTCCCGCATTCGTTCTTTGCGGGATGGAGCTCCAAGTGGGAATGAGACGTGACTCCCAAACGTGATTTGAGGCCCTTCAGACATACGAGTTCCTCACAGGCGGCATCAATTTAACTAGCCAGTGTTAAAATGAAGAATATGGCGCCGGGGTTTATTCTATTTTTCATATTTTCAACGCGATTCTTATTCCTTCCTCTGTATAATTAAATTAATGTTTGCCTTTTTTATCCTTGTAGCCAAGACGAGCCCAAATCGACACATTCCTTGGATATTTCTTGGGACCGAAGGGTTTCAGCTGACACTAATTAATTATAACGCAATACTTCACTTGTACTTCGTTCCCATTCAGAGCTTTATTCCGTTCAGAAAGGCCCGCTAAAAATCAAGGGTGAAAATCAAATTTTTTGCATTGAGTTTCATGGTTTTTAACACATTTTAGAAAGAAAAATTGCTGGAGATGCGCAATAAATGCTGTGAAGTGCTTCAAAAAATGCAAAACCACACTGCTTAATTTTTAAGTTTTCAGATAAAAAAGAGGAACATTTTTTAGTATGCTGTACTGTCCTATAATCTACTCTACAGAACTTTTCTTACATCGAACCTGCCTTGCCAAACTAATGTGCTGATTGGAGTAGAAAAATGAAATGAAAAAAAAACGTACGAGAAAAATACTTGCTCCCTACTCAACTTATTAACTTTAACCTGTTTGTTCCCACAAATAGAGGAAAGTTATTTTCAACATTGTTTTTTTAAGAAAGGCTTTTTTGGAGCGCAAGGAAGTGTTGCTTTCTTGACGAAGTTTTGAATGCAGCAACAGTTCAATTTTTCCGATTTTTTTGGCCATTTAACAAATAAAAGATATGGCCTATGCACAGAATCAGGAGATTACAGCATAAAATGAGTTTGTTAAAATGAGATTCGAACATGGTGCCTATAGAGAAACTGCTAGGGTCAAGAAAAAAAATGTGTCATAAAAGTGTGCTGTAACGACATTCTTTGTAAAGGAATTTGGTGTACTGTTATGTTTTGTGTTAATTTTGTGGGACGTCATCAAGTATCCATTGGGTTCTTAGGTATTAGGCTATAACAGTTGGGTAAACTAGATTTCAGTCCATTGCTCGTTCAATTCGTTTGTGATTAGGCAAATGAAGTTGAAACTCAAGTTAGGCTATTTATGCATTGCACTACGTAGTCGTAGTATAGGTCAGAAAATTTAATTTAAAAAGTTGGGACATTTTCATGGCGAAGTATTTCGCAGTATTCAATTAAACGTGTCTCGAGTCCAAGTTTCAGCAATCTGAATAATTTTTTAAATGAAACTGCTATCTGTTTACAGCATAATCCTTGGATGCATGTTCCTTGGATTGTGGGGGAACTCCTTTTTGGAATCGGTACTTTGATAGTCACGGGATACTACTTTTATTACCGGATTGGCCTTTTACAAGTTGCAGACGAAGGACAGTTCATCATACAAATCGCTCTCTTCTGCGTAGTAGCAGGTGCAGTAAATGATTTTTAAAATGCCGAGATGGTTTACCCAGATTGCAGTTTTCTAATTCTGGGGTTTTCCAGGTTTGATGGCTTACGGCTGGATGGCAGCATTGAGCAACTTTCAAACCTTACTGACGACTTCGAAGGACAAAGTGACTCCGGTAGAGGAGTTCCAAGTGGGCGAATACGGTGATTCTCAATTCACGGGATTCGAACAGACAAAGCAACCAGTTAAGCAGTTAATCCTTGCACCATCTGACCATCTCCACACATTCGGGAACCAGTACGATGATATTCCCAGATCACCACTGCGTGTCGCGGACTGAATTCAAGAGAGAAACGAAAATCAGGGAATGCTTCAAGAATGTGAACATTCGCATTCCTGAGCTTTGAAGCGCGAAGCTGCTGCTAAGCTAGTCCCAATGAAATCATGAATTGACTGTTTTACGCATTTTCCAGCGACCTTCTGCTTCTTGTCAGTACCGTGATTTCGTTTATTTTTTGCTTTCATTTTGATTGATGTATACGACACTTTGTTCCGATATATACGTTGCAGAAAGGAATGAAACATTCTTCTAAAAAATTTAATAATTCAGATTTCTTTCAACTACGCTGCATCCTCTTAAATCTTCGGATGAATAACTACGAGGATAGACAGGATGAACTATTTGACTCCATTCCCCATCAATCTTGTCGGCGCTACGAAATAATTCTCAATAATTTCAAATCGATTTTCAAGTCAGGTAAACGAAGTTACGGTCCGTTTAACGGTCCTCCAAGCTTCAATGTTTCTCCTTTCGAATAGAGACTGACATCGTCGTTCAGTAACAACATTAACTCATTCATGGAATCGCCAGAGCTCAGGAAAGGAACTTCGATCATGAATCACGAATGGTAACTATTGTTCATGTACCTCAGCAAAAGTCCATACCGAAGTCGGAAATCCTTCGCAAATTCAGCAAGTTCTGCGAAGAAAGTCTAATTTGACACAACAAAAAGCGCGGCTTTCAACGGACGGCTTCGGTTCAAAATGATCGATTGATATCACCATTCAATACATACATGTTTATAGCCACAGATTCCGACCAGTGATTTACAACATTGTATCGTCAGCTTGTCACAATGAATATCACGAGCAGAACGCAAAAATTTTTGCAACCGGTGTTTCGGAAGGAAATCTGAGAAGGAAGCCGAACTATAGACACGGTGCATTGATCTACAGTGTACAGTGCATATCTTTTAAATGCAGATGCGCAGCGAATACAGTATATAAAACATAGTACGAAATAAATTTTATTATACCTCAGTTCTATACCTACTCGCAATTATAAGATCTGAGATCATGATCAGTATCACAGTCACTCGCTACCCGTTAAAAAAAAATAAGAAGAAAAAAAAACAAGTGAAGTGTAAGCAGATTTCTTTGCACGACCGATATCCGCGAAAAAACGGTAGTAACGCTCTCTCTTCATTCTAGCTGAAGAGATCTTCCCAAATTTTGTGGCGGTTCTTCTTGAATAGGCGCGTCTTCATCAATCTCTTCGTCATTCTCACGGATCACTCGAACATTTAATTCAACAGTAATATTGAACGTGAACATCAGCATTGCTATAAGCAATGGCAAGCGAAAGCGAGAGTCGTACGCAAGAGTGAAGAAGAAACGGAAACCTCGGTTTAACGATCTGCTGTGATCCGTCCAGGGAATCATGAAGTTTGACAGTAGCTTCCCCATGTTCTCATCAGCTTTCCAACTGGTTCAACGAAAGAGGGATTCGTTTCAGCACTGCTCGTATCGAAAAAGTAAATAAATAGCAGACTCACGGGATTTCAAGTCATCGATGGAAATCACTGGGGCTTCTCACGAGTTCACAAACGCTCGGAAATGGCACGATGAAAGTCAAGAACCTGAAACTATTGGAAGGGTTCTCGCGAGCGCCAACGGATCAGGTGGACGAAAATGAAACACACTTCGCTGTCGTATGCTGACAAATTGCAGCAACTGCAGTCAATGGGAACATAATTTCAAAGCTGCTTCAACTGTCAGAACACTGCGAACATTAATGTTCGATCAGTAGATGCAGATTAAATTGGTTTCGGAGACGTTTACGCGGATCTGGTACACTAAAAAGTTCGAACTTCAGAGAGAATCACCAAAAATGGATGGTTGGAGATAAAACTTCGTTTTACTTTTTGCATTCATTCATTGCTATCATGACCGCTATTACTCTACCTGTATATATATACAGTATCTTGTTTATGTGAATTGCTTCATTATTCTTGGTGATAAGGAGACATTAGTCATTTCAGAAAAGATGCCCATTAAAAAATTTTTTGACTCAATTCTGTGGTCAGGACATGGTGGACTCTAGAGTCCAGATTCAGGGTAGAGTATGCCCTTCCTGCCACACCGGCCCTGGAATCTGGTACTGATGCATAGTAGACATTAAAAAAATGAGAAGTGGCTATTATAATATAGGGCAGATTAGGTGTTTTGAGTGTATTATTGTACTGGTGAAAAAATACTGCATTTGATTAGTCTAAAGTCTTGGTAGAAAAAGGGATAAGCCTTACAGACAGTACTTCTTCATTTTGAAGAGGAAGGATGCTTGCATCAGGCCAGAAAATGAGTTGAAGGGTAATGTACATCAGTGCTGTACTGGTACAAAGGTGGTTCCTCGAATCTACATTACCAGGCATCGGGCATTACCCTAAAGGGTACCTTAATAGTGCCACACCAGTGTAGGAGTTGCAAGCGTCCGGGTAGGCAGGAGCGTCCGGCCGGACACTCTCACCTAGTTGGGAGCGTCTGACCCCCAGTCCGGAGCGTCTGACCCCCAGTTGGGAGGGTGGATGCCCATCTTGCCGGAGCTAATATGTGCTCCAATGAAAAATGAGCCAGTGTGCCCCTGCAGCCCCTCACTCCCCAAGCGCATCACTCTCTCCTTGAAGCAAATCTATGAGAGAGTTGAGACAGTGTGTTTAAGGGGTATAAACAGTGTATCAGGAAAGTGAGTACTCATTTACCTCCAAAACTTTGCTGTGAATAAATTCATAAAGGGAAACACATGAATACAGCTCCTTTGTGTTATCCTCATCCCATACATGCTTCAATCAATTGAATTTCTTTTTTTTATTATTTTTCATATGGTGGTTCCTACAGAGCCCCCAGCCAGGACTGCAGGAGGGGAACATTTCCTGTTTACAACTTCAAAAATTTGGAGAAAATTTAATTTGAAATGGAACCTCAATTTTTTTCAAATGTAGCAAGTACCATTCAAATTCCAGCATTTTCTTCTTGGAGCATCTAAAACAGTTTGTAAGTGATGGGGATACACCAGTGAAAAACACAAAAATGATTTTTGTACAAAAACTGCAAAACAATTATTTTTATTTATCAATTTATAGAGATTTATTTCAAAATAAAGAATATCTAAATTTGTAAAATTTCTGTGCACACACAGCCACATGGAAAATTTTCTATTGTTAGAATAGTAAAAAGGCACAAAAAGCTAATAACAGCCCATACCTTGCAGTAACTTACTGCAAGTTGAGGGAAGTGGTGTAAGCTCCCAGTAAAATACTGCAAGGTTACAGCACAGCCATAACCTTGCAGAAGAGTTCTGCAAGGTTATGACACTTCCATAACCTCACAGAACTGTTCTGTGAGGTTATAGCAGTGTCATTACCTTGCAGAACTTTGCTGAACTGAAATTTGTCAAATAGCATAACAGAAATATAAAAACTGTATGCAGACAAATAAACATGTGCCAACATATAACATTTGAGGCATATAGTGTTTTGAGTACAAAATTGAAAAATCAGTCAGAACACAATGCATTTTGTGGATAGAAAGGACAAGGAGCAAAAATTTAACTCAAAAATTGAATTTGAGTCATGAACAGGCTGTATTTTTGAATTTTTGAAATGTGGACTTCCATAACCTCACAGAACTGTTCTGTGAGGTTATCAAAAACCTCACAAAAACCTCCATGAGATGAGAGAAGGGGAAAAATGTGGCATCTCTCTTCCATGGGGTGAAATGCCACTTTTTCCTATTTCAAACACCTCATGGTAATAATCACAATAGCATTTTTTAGGGGAATACATTCAGAAAACCTTGGTTGTGAGTTGAGAAAAAGAAAGAAGGGGTGTATTTCTGATCATGAGATGTAACTCTTCTTTGTTTGAGACACCTCACATTTGATTCACATTCTTCAAATGTAAAATCAATCATCCTTATTAGGGGAACACTTAATTGTTTTAAAGGTGAAAAAGCAAAGGAATGTAAGATCAAAAAATGCATTGGGATTTTTGGATTGGATTAAAGAAATGTTTGAAGTGAAGAATGTTGAAAGGGAAGGGGTATAAACATTAAGGAGAACATAAGGGTGCAGAATGTAACAAGTAAATGATTTCATGAACAGTTCTGGGAGAAAATGCAGATTTTTATCTGTTTCAGCGGAAGGAGCACAATGTGTTCCCGCATGTGTTTGAAATATATACAAACAGTTGGAGGCTTCCATGTACATAAAAAAAATCAATGAGCTGCATGAACAGGACATGTATGACAAAATTTAACACTCGCAATGTTCACTCACATTCATCACGTGCTCTCTCTATAGTTCAGGATGCAAACAATTCACAAACTTGAATTCATACAGTACATGACTGTCCCCAGCAAATAATTTACCCATATTTCCACCCGTCAAAGACCCGTCATACGCGGGTAGCAGCCACCCGTTTTGGGAAACAGGTACTGGGTAAAAAAAAAACGGGTGATCACCTGTAGAACCACCCGTTTTGGCAGACGGGTGTTTGTACGGGTGAATGTGCTGAGCACCCATCTTCTCCAAAGGCCTGCTTTGTTAAGGCTAAGAGAGATTCAGCCATCCTATACGGGTGAATCACCCGTTTTTTGAAAAACGGGTGAAAAATAAACACCACACACCATTTATACAGCTGTATAAAGGGGGCCCGCTGTTTTTACAGCATTGATAGTGGCCCATATGCTTTATAATTGGCGCGCATCATTTATACAGCTGTATAAATGGTGTGCGCTGTTTTTACAGCATATGAGCCACTAGATGAATGCTTATAAACAGCGCGCGCCATTTATACAACCATATAAAGGGCACGCACTGCTAATACAGCATTTGTCTAGTGACCCCCATGCTGAATAAATGGCACAGGCCACTCTAAAGTGGCATGCGCTGTTTATTTAGTAGCTCAGATGCTTCATAAATAGCGCAGCCCACTTTTAGCCAGTTGGTGCTTCAAAAATGTAGTGCATACTCTTTTTATCATTCAATGACAACTATCTAGGCATACACACACCAGTAGGACAGCACACACACATAAACTCACAAGGGCAACCGACAAGCACAGACAAACATCAACAGACACAACATTCCCCACACAATACAAGGAACATTTTCAAACACGCTGGGGATTCAAACCACCCTTCATGATCAAACCTTGATTTTGAAGAAGCCAACAAAACCAAAATCAAGGACCGGACCCATGATGACAATTTCCCCATCAAATTTGGATGCTCAATAGGCGTCCAGTGAGCAGGCCTCCAAGCAATGCAGGCAGCCATCTTGAACAACACACCTGCGGCATGATGTGTCAGGATGCATCATTAACACCATCAACAGCACTGTCACTGCAAAACTTGCCATCTTTGCTTGTTTTCTGAGAAAAGTCACAAAGGCGCACTTAGAGATCAGATCTGATCCAAATTAGTTGAGGCTCTTGAGGGAATTACCTATTTTTGCTCAGATCTTGGAAATGAACTGTTAAAATGTGGTGAAATTTGCAGGGAATGCTCCTTACGCATTGTAGAACAAGACCAATTGGTTACTTTTGATTACTTTTTCTGT